GCCGCGACATTGGAAAGTTCGTGGACCGATGCCGATGCATTAACACGCAGAGCCGTGTTTTCTTTTCGCAAACTCTCTCTGTCTTTCTCTCTTTACATTTTCAATAACATCAGACACCGGAATTCCGGTTTAACGCGCAGGTGTCGCGGTGAGACTTAAACTATACGTTTGGGAAATATGTTCTTCCATTTTTACGACGCGCTTGTTTCTCGAGGAAAGCTACGAGGATTTAAGGATGTTTCGTACCTATTTCCAAAATATTGAGAATTTAATGAAAATTGTACAGAATGTCCTTACATATGTTTAGAATCTTCAGTACAATTTTTAAATAGATTAAAGCGTTCACAAGTTATAAGGATTTTAATTTGCACCGAATTAACATGTGTTCTTAGGGGAAACGTATAACCACGTCGATTCAAATGACAAACACACGTGGAAATAATATTCAGAATTTGTTTAAAATTTGTAAAAGTTTAGATACAGAGGAAATATTTGATCAAATAATATTATACAAGTACTAACTGGTTAAAAAGATATTAAATGTAATTCAATAAAGTTAGCCATGTATCTATCACAAGACGAAATTCTCTGCCAAAAGTTAATCATTTCGATTAACAAAATTCGTAATATTTCAGTAAAAACGCAATAAATATTAAAAAATACATCTCTGCACTGTAGCTAAGATCAAATTGCAATAGGGAGGTAAAGGGAGTTTATAAAATTCTCAAAAATGAGAATCTATATCTTGGTAAATACATCAAGTAAAACATATGCCTCGTGCACATTTAAATTTTCGCGAACAATTAAAAATTTACGCATTACCATCCGCGGTGGCTCTTATTCGCTAGTTTCTTATCGTGTTGTTTAAATACATATAGAGCCTAATTCCTTTCAAATTGTAATATTCACGCAATTTCTTACTGAAAATACACAAAAGTGGATATATTCGTCAATATTGATTTTCAGTTACTTTTTGCTGGGATTGTACATACAAAGTATTTTTAAACTTATACGTTTGGGAAACGTGTTCTTCCGTTTTTATAACGCGCTTGTTTCTCGAGAAATGCTACGCGGATTTAATAGAAGGCAGTCCTCTTTCAATGCGCGTCGTGTTTTTTTGTTTTCCTCTTTTCTTCTAATAAACTAGATTATGTATTTTCTACATTCAGTTTAATCTTCGATACGTGCACGGTTTTGTTCTCCCAGCAACATCCGCCGACAGTCGAAAGTATATATAACGCGAGAGTCGATTTTGATCAACGATCGGAGCCCTTTTGAAGACTGGACCGCCTGCTCCTTTCACCGTGAATAGCATGAAAGTCACAATTCGTTATCAATATCCCTATCGGTATCATTCGATTAATTATAATCCGAATGCCGAAGATGACGTACAATTTTAATACTTTCTAGTGAAAGGATTCGTATGCCAATATTAAAAAACGATTCGACAATCTTTGCAGCCCCTTATTAGGGTAAAAACAGCCTTATCAGAACGGCTTTCACCCGCAAGAACGACTGGATCTAGTCTGATGAAAAACGTGAAGCGATGTGGCATAAATGGAATCGGACTTGCGTATCGCGGATTGAAATTAATCAGGAAGCGCGTCGACGATTAACACGGATGAAAGAGGTAATCGATCGATAACGGGAAGAATGTCAGACATCGTTTCTCCGACAAGCGATAGGACTTGATTCTCGCTTGAGCTGTTTCCAATGACGGGCGATCTCGAGGCTGCTCTGTAATTTATGTATTTACTGAGATCCTATGGCGAAAAAAAGTTCCATCTATCTGTTTGCGCGCAAAAGTCAACAAAAGATTGCAACGCATAAGCAAGCGTGTATAATATTTTGATTGCAGGCGACGCGCGACGAGAAAGTCCGATTTCCTTTCTCGTGTCCCAGGATTCTTTCGCTGTTCGACAACAATAGAATTATTCTTATAACCAGTTATTGAGATATCGACGGAGGAGCTGATCGAAACATCGATGTCATGATTAATAATAACGCAGATATTGTCTTATTTCTCTAGGTACGTTCTCATCAAATATCCAGCGTACAAAGTGACTCGTTCACGTAAAGCGATTTGTATCGGCTCGATCGGAGATTGCTATTTTTATCCCAACATTACCATTTAAAAAGATCGCTGATGGTTAAAATACGAAGAAGGTTCGCTCGAATAAATCAATGTCCGCGATAGCATAAAGTATTGAAATTCAGCGGGACAAAACGTTAGCGAACCGTCCTTTTCAGACTTAACCGCGTCTCGCTCGCATAATCGCCGATCTAAATATAGCATAGAAGGGGGAAATACATTACAATAACGCGGTGTTTCTCCCCTTTTTGTTTTCCGATACTCCCTTCACCCCCCGAGACTTTATCGTTGGACTCTCGTCGGGTCAGAATCCACTGCATTAAGGCGATCGATGCGCGATGTGTATGGGAAATGGCAGGCAGGGTTTCATGGCAACCATTTCACCCTTTGGGATGACGAACCCTTCAATTTCAAAGACCCGGTCGTTCTTTTAAACATGATTCTTAAACACGATGTCTCTTCATTAGCGACTAGTAAAAAAACATCGCGTATTTTAAAATGTTAATAAACGGTACGCCTTTTACTCTCTCCCTAATTAGCATCCCAGTCAAGCTGAAATATTCCAATATGACTAGCCGCTAGCGTGCTAGTGATTAGTAAAAAAACACATCATCGTGTTTCACGACAACCATTTCACCCTTCGAGGTGATCAACCCTTGAATTTCAAAGATCCGATTCACCCAGGTGTCGTCAAACGCGATTCGCGCGATTCTTTATCATTAGCAACTAGTAAAAGAGCATCTCAAGTGCGTCTCAAAACACCAGCATTTTACTCTCTCTAATTAGCATTCCAGTCAAGTTGAAGAAATATCGCAGCTTTACTAGCTGCTGGCGTGCTAGCAAAGGCCGATAAAAAGGCGGCGTGCGAAGCACGCCTTAGATACGCCCATCTCTTTTTTGAGAATTTACATGGCGGTGAATTTAGCGCGTTGTTCTCGGTTCCGGAGCGCGTTGCAATTATCGATTAATCGTCTGTCACTACCGCGAGCGCCCAAGTCGGTCGCGCATTATCCGCGCGGCCCACATACATTGCATTTTTTACGAGCGAGCAGCCTGCATGAGCGAGTGCCCCGAGCGTGGATCGTAAATATGCGCAACCGTCCGTCGTTTCTTCGCCGGCGATATTAGGCACGCCAGTCTCTCCTCGGGAAGGAGCAACCAGAACGCGACCGGCAATGGCGCGAGTCGTTTGCATAAATCATCGCGCTTTATTTATTTTGCTCGCTCTCCATTATACGCGCGCTCTATTACAACGGACGATTTTTAATCGTTTTAATGGCTTAATATCGTACGCGGAGACGAACGAAATATCCCCGAGCGAGATTAGCCTCGAGAGCGACGATAATCGTGGGTGCGGCCGATCGGTTTATTAATTAATTCATTAATCGCTCGAATTTGTACTTTTTTTCAAATTGATACGCGCTTGATCTTTTTTATTTATTTATTTATTTTTTTTTTGACACCTCCTTGCGAACTGTCGGTAATCTCTTTCCGCCAAATTGTGCGTTTACGTCCTTTTCACCTGTATAACGCAGCGCCCGACTTGCTCGAGGGACCGCTCTCTGCGCAGACTCTACGATCTAAAATATACTCCTGCCGATCAATATCCGTAAAAGTCGTTACACGCCGGATTTTTTCGAGAAATATCGCGTTGAATGCGTCCCATTGCGTCGCGCAAAATTAAGGAGAGAAGATAATGTAACGATATTTGCCATCTTCAAAATTACAGATTTAATCTCAATTCCAAAGATGAGAAGTAAAAATTTTATTAAACTCTATAAAAATTCTATTAGACTCCGATGGGAAGTGTCTCAAGTGCCCAGTAGTTATCGGACAAATCATCGCTCGCTGACTGATTAAGCGGCAATTGGTGATGAAAATAACTAAGGTCGCACTCGTGGCGATAAAATGCAATCGTCGTTTATCGCGGTTTCTCTCTCTGTCTCTCTCTCTCTCTTTCCTCTCTATCTATCTCTTATCGAGACGCCGTAATCGAAGAGAACATGGTATTATTTTTGAAAAATGTTGCACGCATATTTTTTATTTATTTATTAATATCACGTATATTCGATATACTTGAAAAAACTTAAAAATACAAAAATAATATAATATCGATCCCGGAAAAAAAAACTACCTCCAGTAAGCCCTTCGACGATATTCGAGACGCTTCAATGAAGATGCGACGACGGAGGAATACTTTCAAGAGCCCCCCCGATGCTTTCCGCTCGCGATGCCCACCCGGACAACGGGTGCGCGTATTGCGCGACAAATCGATGAGTCATGCCATCTCGACTACGGTCGTTTTGCCCTGATGTAACACGCGAGGCCTGGCGTTTCACGTTTCCGACGCGAAAGAGACGACGCGTGGTTCGACATCGACGGAGCGGCTTGCGCAAAATTTCGTGCAATCGCTGAATATGTAATTTTTATCTCGTAACGAACGGCATTTTGTCACGTAAGAACCCGGAGCCGATTACAAGTGCGCGCGTCAGCTGATTTGCACTCGCATTTCAATAAAACGCGAACTTTGAGCCCGCGCCGATCGTGCGCGGCCTTGTGTTTCGAATGATTAATTACATTTTCAAACGACTCTCGCGCAGCCTCATCGATCCGTCCCGCCGGGCATCTCTCGAGATCGACCTCGAAAAACGACTCTCGCAATTTTGACGCCGGTTGCACCTGCGCATCTTTCGCGAGGCAGCTGCGGCCTTGACATCAACGGACCGCGATGCTCGGACTCGCGAACAATCGATGTCTCCACCACTACTATATCTCGCTCGTTTGTCTCTCTCTCAGCGCAGATACAAATTTATAGCAACATCGGCGCGGTATCGATCTCCTCCGCGAGTCCGACGCATGCATGTCCGCGCAAACCCCCCGCGAAAGGCGGGGGGACCTGCAGATTTACCCTGGAGCATGTTGTGGTCGGCGTCCTCGTCCGCGTGGAAGCGAACGCCGTCGATGGAGGAGGACAGCAGGCTCATCTTCCCGGCGACGTTCCGGCCGGCGCTTCGTCGGATCCTGGACCGAGCCGAGCGGCAACAACGATGACGACGGGGCCCGACGCGGAGAGGAGGGCCACCTGGCCCGCGGGCGCTATTGGCGCGCGCTCGCCGCGAGTCCGCTGGACGAGCCAATCCCGGCGAGGGAAGCCTCGGCAACGAGGGGCCTCACGGGCCTCGGCGAGCTCGCGAGAAGCCGCCGGCCATGGGCCGCCGACTCCGAAACGTCACTTTCTCCCGGCGACGAGTTACCACTCCCCGAGCCGCCACCGCGTCTCTCGCTTCTCAGGATCGTATCCCGCTGTTGTCGCTGAACCAGGCGGCCCGGAGGATCCACCTCCGCGTCGAGCTTCCCTTCCGGAGCGGCTCCTCTTTCGCGCACCCACGATTACGACGACGACGGCGTCTTGACAAAGTCGACTCGCACGCGGTCGTCTCCGGCGTTGTCACTCCGCCTGACTAACGGACACCGCCGACTGCCACTGCCCCGCGTCCAGCCGAGCGTCCCGCACCGCGCGTTTTGCCGCGAGACACGCGACGGCGCATGACACGCGACGACGAGCAGCGATCAATACCGGCCGCCTCGTCGGCGTCTGCGCCATCGCGTCACCGATGCGAAGTGGAGGACGGGTCCCCGATGTCGGACCCCGACATTAATGACTCGCGAGAGCGATTAGCTTCGCGCCTCGAAAAAATCCTCGAAATGTCGACGCAAGCAGTGGATTCGCCTCGAGAGAATTTCTCGAGTGACCGAGCAGAGTCCGAGGAAGTAGGTTATTCCGTTGACGCGGATGTTGCGTTTTCTTCTCCCGGCGACGATAAGAACCGCGCGGAGAAATTATGACGTTTGACGCGATAAAGAAGTTCTGTCGCTCGGAGCGATGATGAAATGACGGAGATGTAAAAATGTAGGACATTTCGCGATGTATTGCGTCGATTTGTTGTTATGTATGTGCCTCGTCGCTTCGTTGTGGCATAATTAATAAGCGAAGTTACGCGCTAATCCGTTTCTCCTCGTTGCTCTGAAATATTTCTCCCGTTACGCGCCTTAATTCCCGTATAACGTACGCAAACCTACGTAATCCAAAATCGGAGAAAGTCGGATTTATCATTGTTTACAATGTTTCGCACGATACGCACAACGCACACACGTATATGATTTAAGATTCCCGTTTCATCGCTCCATTCCACCTGTACCTTGCGTTGCGCAATAGCGTGTTGATTCTAATATAATGTAAAATAATCCTAAAACGTATCGAGAATACAGATGTGGAGAAACTATTTTTTTTACTAGTAGGAGAAAACGTTAAATAAATTTGTTTTTTTTTTTAATATTTTTTTAAATAATTTTCTTTTTATATTTTTTGTTAATATAATGAAAAAATATTCTGTTTAAAGTTTTTATATTTTTATCTCTCTAGTAATTTTAATAGAGTAATAAGATTTTTTGGTAAATTAAATTGCACAATATTGATTCAAATAATGTTTAGGTAGATGCAAAACAAAAATTTGTACAGAACATTTAATTGCAAATTATCCGAATTATGTTTGATATCATTTTAATTGTAAAAATCTTAATAATTAAAAAAAAAATTAAAATTTCCACGAAAAAACAAAATAAACAACAAAAGGAAAATTTAGTTCACAAGATGCTTGTACTCGTGAAATGAATGGAAGAAAGGTAGAAAGTAAAGATATGTATTAAAAATACACATATGTAAAGAAAAAAAAACAAGATACTGGAAAAAATACTTTTTGTCTTTTAAAAAAAAAAAATGATATATTTTATAATGAAACATTTATTTTTTCCATTTACACCTCTAATTGAAAATGCTCAGAAATCTCAATGACATTTCACCATCACGCTACAATGCGATGGAGGGGGTGGGAAAATGGCATTTATGACTATACTTTTGCACATCACCTAGCTATGTCTTTGAAGAATGAAATAAGCGCGATTGGCCAGAATTAAATATCTATAATGGAGTATCGAATTTCCATACTTGGGAACGATCGAACCGACAGTTTTCATCCCGACGTCTTCGACATATCGTCGCGCTTTGCGCGTGCATTCATGCGCGCGTGCATACGAGAGCGTGTCCGTTTCCGACCTAGCATAATACTCGGCGGAATAATTCACCTGTCCCGTTACGCTAAACGGGATAAATCGTCTCGTTATACACCGGGCGGATGTTACGTTCGCGGCGCCGCGCCTAATTCCGGACACCTGGGCGGCTCGCCTTTCCCTCCTCTCCCCGATCGTCTCGGGGAGAGAGCCGATCAATTTTCCGCGCGATTTACCTCCTCGCGACACCTGTCAAAACACTCATCCGTCTCTGGCATTCTTTTTCGAAAGTCCAGCCGGACTAAAACGGACGACGATATTTTCTCGCGTGATTTCCGCGCGCGTCTTAAAAATCGACTTTCCAACTCCGTAAGAAACATATATCGCCGCGACAGGTATAATTTTGCGCGTTAACGGTTTCGCGCGGTTCTATTCCCCGTTCGGCGAGATAACCCGCGCGATAACTCGTGATTAACGCGCGGCTTATAAATAATTAGCGATCGTCATCGCTGGCGCGTTTGCGAGCAAACGTGAAAAAAATCGGGAGGGAGAAAAAATAGAAGCCGTCGCGATCCTTTAACGCCAAAGACTCGACGGGGAACGGTAATTGATCGTACCTCTACGGAAACTCGTTTTCAGAACCTTCTCCGAACCTATCACCGATATATCAAAGTAATGGGGTATATTTATACGCTCGTCGTAAAAAAGAATTCATTCAACAATCCGGCGTCGGAGACAAATTTCTCGCGTGACATTTTTTTCACCGAGAGAGGACATTCTGAATTTTTCGCGACGAGGAGAAAGGCGAGTTCCCCCCTAATTACTGGTCGACCTCCGGTAGGATGATCCATAATTGGCACCCATCGGTCGCTTCCGGAGAGTCGAAATTATTATCCCAGCCCAATTTCACCCCGATAACATGAAGTTCCCTCTTGGAATCAGATCGAGCGGAGCAGGTTTCCACGTTCAATCGTCATCGATAAGAGTATCTCGCAGATTCTCGTGGCCTCATCTTTTACAAGCATGGGCGGGATGCTGGCAACTGATATTTACCCGGTTCCTCAAATAAAGGTGATTACAAGTTTTCGCGGGCGTATACCATTTTGCGATATATAATGAAAAAGAGAGAGTTTTATTCGGGAAAAATTGGCGCCAAAAGTAAAATGTCCCTCGCGTTATCGTATTGATGATATATAATCAAGACACAATGCTTGCCTTGAGAATCGCGCGTGCTCTACTTTCGCGATTTTTCCAGAGGGATCCAAGATACCTCTTCCCTTCCGAATACGTGACTGCTCCTCGCAAAGATACGACAAAGAACCCGCGTTCTCTTCCTGTTATTAGTAGAAATTACTATTCCGGAGGGAGCTAATATCGGCGCGCATGGCTCGATTGCCGATCTCCAGGGATCAGATAAGACAATTAGGATTGCGATAGGAACGAAAGAGAATTCCACTTACGAGAAGTCGTTTTATTTGTCTCGGAAATTACACGCTTCCCCCTCCTCGTCTCCCTCTCCCCTCCCCCCTCTTGTAGATATTAGAAACTCGATCGAACGGGAGAATGGCAAGCATCTCGACGATGCAGATCGAGAGACGAGATTGTTTCTTTCGTCAATTCCGGATAAGAGGATAGCATACATTAGTCGATTGCTCGTATTTCCATCTCGCTCGCGGTCTAAGTGAATTAATCCTCATTCGCTCGGCGCACGCGGCGAGAGTCGCGGAAAAGTCGGCCTTCCGTTTCTGCGGTTAGAAAACGATCAGCGCGATTTCACGCGACCGCCACCGATCTCGCGAGATACGCAGGATACTCACGTCGCGTCTCACCTCTCGGCGACCTCTCGTGACCACGGAGATCGGGGACTCTTTTTTTCCCGGCAAGAGGATCGCGCTCTGGAAAGTTTCCAATTTGCCCGGAGAAAATCGGCATCTCCCGTTAAGCGATGCGTCGCGATACACGTCGTCTCGTTCGGTATGCGAGACTAATCGACGTTGCGAGGCTGCTTCTAACGACCCGTTGCGAACCGATACCGTAACGTTGTTTGTCGCGCCGTTACGCTCGCGAGTTTCTTTACCCGAGTTGATGTACTCTGTATCGGTACCTTTGTATCGCTGCCTCATCTGGAGCATTCTTTAGATTCGATCGCGTCCGTGCGCGAAGGAGCTCGATGTCAAAGCGATGCGACTAACGGCAAGAAATATCAATTTCTCATTTTCAGAATCGAGTGCCGGTCCCCATATTTGATCGATCCATGTTTGAATTCTACGTCATGAGCGACGTCACTTAATTCAAACAAATGATCCATCACAAGATCCAAATTTAAAGGTGATTCATCGTGAAATCACGCGAAAGGTTGATCGTTATTGATTAAAAAAGTACGTTAATAACACGCGTGAAATTTGATGAATCCGAGGCGGAGTCTTCGTTAATGTCGATCAGCTGATCATTCCATCTGTCAAAAGCTCGCCGGATTAGTCGTTTAAAGTTCGTTCACGATTTGAAAATTTCAAAAATTGAAAGAGTGACATTTCGAAAGAGATCCTTTTCTCGTAATATTTTTTGTATTAATTATATATTTATTATTATAATTATATACGATTATATTATATTTAATTATACATTATATATTATTTTATATATTATTTAATTATACGTTATATATTATTTTATATAATTACATATCAATTACTAATTTATATTTTATTTCAAGTGAAATGGAAATGTTTTTAAATAAAATGACAGGTTTAGGAAAAGTTGTAGATATCTCTTTCTTCCATGAAATAAAAAAAAAACACGAGAAAGATGAACGAAATACGTTGTAGAAATTTCACTTTCACGCGCGATAATGCACGCGAGCGAAAATGAGAATTGTCGATGCAGGAACATCTTGGCTTTAATAACAGGCCTTATGTAATAGCGCGTAAGCGCGACGCGCATAATTTTCCTGACATGTCCAACGTGTGTAATGTGTCTTTTATCGCACGCACGCGCGTAATAGACGAGATTTCGAGATCGAGATGCCAGCAGTCGCGAGGATCATTTCAATCTCGTCGACTCGCGAGGACTCTTGTAACTTCTTTTTCTCTTTTCTTTCCGCGCCAAGAGAAGTAAGAATGGAAATCCCTGAGCTAGTTGAGTCTAGCTTGACCGGTCGTATCGCATCGCTGCGTTTACAGCGTGAAATTCCTTGCGCGAACAACGCAACGGATCCTCCTCCTATTAATCGGGAAGAAAGTTACGAGGCTCCGGCGAGCATCAACGTTCGGATCCGTCCAATAAATTCTTGCTTAAATAAATTCCGCTTCTATTTTTCTCTGTTTGCGACGATTATACAACTCTCGTGAATTCTAAACATGACGAGAGAGCGCATTGACAGGTATATTTACTTAGCACGTACCCTTCTCTTTGTCAGGAACGCAACTTGCATTTCGTAAAACGCGATTGAGCGAAGTCAATTTATTCAGCGACACTCGCGTTGACCTAAAGTGTCACGAGGCGTTTGTGTGCGTAATCTCTTTCGTAACGAATATTAGCAGAGGGACACTCGTAGCTCGATAACAACATTTCACCTTTGAAACATGAGATTAGCGATTATTTTAGAAACCGATCGGCTCGACTTTGATGAAACATCGCTAATATTTTACGCAAGATTGCGGAAGACTCACCGCTTTGCGTCCAAGTGTCGGTGTCATAGCAGAGCGTGGACCAGTCGTCCTCCAGGTCCCGGGAAGTCGCCATGGCCGATGATCGAAGTTGTCGTCGTCCTCGTCTTGCCCTTCTCCTCGAGATTTATCTCCGATCGCGAGGAACCGCCGGTGAATCGGTACGAACGCAAGGCACCTTCCACCCCCGTCTTCTCTCTCGCAAAGATCCTTGTCACGGTGAGATCCTTACCAAGGTGCGCGGAAAAATCGCCGGCGATTTTGCACAAGATCGCATGAGGATTTGATCGGAGATCGACGCCCGGATGATCGATGTACGTAATCGAAAAACGGAAAACTCTGTAGAGGAACGCGCGATAGACACCGGTCCTCTCGATTACAATCGCGACGCGACGTAAGGTAAGGACACGAGTCTAAGCTGGAGCACACACGGGCGTCAAAGTAAGCGCCGCGACAAACCCGGTCCCGTGCGTTTCGCACACACACATCACACACGCAACACACACGCACATACACACATGGATATATTCCACCTCTACTCGTCGCTGTCGCTGTTACCGCTACGGAGAGTCGCGCGATTTTCGCGCTGTTTATTTTTAAAAGAGCGGTTAGAGTCTGTATGCGTGTACGTGTCCGTGTAGGTACGTACATATACTTTGAGAGACGCTGACGTGACTTGTTAGACATACACACACATACACGTATCGCTGTTTTTATTTTGCGATGCACGATAAAGGTAAAGTTTTTTTTTTTTGCTCGCTCTTGATGTTCTCGATTTAATTATCGATTATGAAATAGATCCTGACATATCTGATTAGCGATAATGGTCGGTAATTGATAAATGTTCAGCTATTGTGACTCATTATTCCCATCATATATTATTATATATTACTCCATTATGACTAATGTCTCTTTTTCTTTTCCAAATCGTGAAAAAAATAATATAGATAAAATGTGTTATATATTATACTTGTTTTAAATAAAATAATAAAAATGTTGTATATTGTTGAATAATTTGTAGCTGCAGATTGTACGTGTAAAAAAATGAAAAAAAAAAATGCTTTAATTATATAAATACAACTATCGAATTTACGGGTTTTTTAAGGACACGTTAATATATCTAAAATAGAAAAACTAATTTACATAAATGTATATGAAGATTTATTCCTTACTACAAGTTCAAACACACGAAGCGATCGAGCACGCGACGAGTACTCTTTAGAAAAAGTAAGAACGCATTGTTATTATCATTATTATTCCTATAACGTATAAGCACTTCTCATAAATAAGTTTCGCCTAATTTACAAATTAGAGTTACTTATCGCTATCTTAAAAACTACTTTTGTACATTACACGTTTGTACATGGAGTAATGCGTTGCGGATTTCGTTTCAAGATGTCTCTTACAAAAATTCGCGCGAAATGCAATAGAAAGCAGTCTTTCGTGTTAAAATACCAATACATATATATATCGATGACATAAATAGCGAACACGTCGAAAACTTGCGATCAAAAAAAGTGAGTGAAAAAGAAACAAGTACTAGTACACGTCACTTTTATGATTATCAAAACTTCTTACTTATATTCTACTTTTCGATTATGATGCGACTATTGAATTGAAGATTATTTAAACAAAAAGAAATGATGTAATACAAATACTTTTTTCGCTCGAAAAAATGTTTTTAGTGCAGAAAGAAATATCTCTGAACGTTGCCGTGCAAATTTATTTAGTATTTATGGAGAAAATTTCTTCCATGGTCGAAATTAGATTGTCTAATCCAAATAGAAAACCCTCTTCATGGTTGCCTTCCTCCCAAGGACGCCTATGCGTAAGCTTCCGTCCATTCGGTACCTCGCGTGTCTTTGCGAAATCTATTAGCCAAACGCCCACCTTTTCGCTATCGTAGATTATAAAGATACTACTGCCAATCACCTGTGTAATGAAAGATGCAATAATGTCATACATTTTTACAATCAAGCATATATAGTCAAAATATCATGAGATGAATAAATGTATGAAATTCAATGACAATCGATGTATAAAAGTTTAAAAAAATAAAATAATATAATACCTCGTGGGATTTAAAATATTCGGACTCTTCAATCTTGATTCGTAAATTTTTGAGGCGTGCAAGAATTTTTTGACGGGTGTCCTCGCGCCTATCGAGAAACTGCCTTATGATGTCGAGTACATCCGAATGCGACTTGACCTTCTTGAGATCAGTGATCGGTGGCGCGCCCGGCAATTTCATCGCCTCGATGCGAAAACCGTGGCTGCAAGTCGAGCTCTGTTGCTCACGGAATTGCATATACCGTAATTTGGTTACGGCGCGTTGCTCGTGCTCCAACTGGGTCGGCGCGTCCGGATCGACGGCTATCATCTTCTGATAGAGATCCGGCCTGGCGGTGGTCTTGGATACCTCGGACTCGAGAAAGGTCCGCGTGCCCATCTTGATATCCATCACGTGGGGATCGTTGAAACCAAACAGCAAATCCTGCAGCTCGATAAACGTATCGCCCTTGTATTCGACCTCTCGGTAATATCTGAAAAGAGCGATATTTAATATCTGAGATGGCGACACATTAAGCATTCCGCTACGTTCTTTCTTTATCACTTACATCACTTTAATAAAAGACAAAAGTATTTTATATATACCTCGGTATGCAATCCCGCAACGCTTCTTCTTTGCTCAGAGTCTCATAAACGATGCGCTCTGTGTTTTCGGCGCCGCCCGTTTTCCTTTTCCAGACAGTGCCCGGACCGGCAGGTGCGAAACCATCCGGATGGCCCGACAATTGAAACCAGGACTTTAATCGGTTCTTCAGCAGCACATCGCTCGCCGGCGCCGTCAGATCCAGAGCATTCTGCAGCATCGCAAAGTTGTTACGTTGAGACAATTTTTTCATAGAAAACGAATAACGATAATTAATCGAGTATTTGGAAAGTAGGTGCACACGTACCAGGGCGAGAAATTTCAGGGAGAGATCGGCATCGTCCGGCATCGTCGCGTCGGACAGGACCAGGGGGAATTGTTCCATCTTCCGGATGGTGGCCGGATCATTGGGCAATTTGGCGAGCGAGTGAGACGATCTGGAGCCGGCGCTGCTGGAGCGGCTGTTGTGGGAGCCCGTCGAGGTGCTTCGTCGCCATTGACGGAAAGCGCTGTAGCTGCTGCTGCTGTTGCTACTGCCGGACCCATCCTTATGTCGACGGTGATCCTTGCTGCCCGTCGAATCATGATTGCTCAATCGGGTCTGCTCCTTGCTCGAGGGCTGCAACCAGAGAGATCTACTAAGAATTTAATCCAATCGCCTCGAAATTTCAGTCGTCCGGAACCGGGGAAACGATACGCGAAACAAAATATCCGAGGCGATAACTGATATTCCTTCGATCGCGATCAACGATTCCAAGATCGAATCCCCAAGAGTTATTCCGACCGCTTTTCGATAGAGAAATCGTTCGAAGGTTGTTTATCATTATTCGCGTTAAGTCGCGTTTTCGCCACTTTTCGATGCGAATGCTCGATTTCGCGATACGCCATTCATTTTAATCTTCGTGGCAAGGTCCGCGTCGTAATTCGGCCGTGATTTCGACCTCGATCATTGGCTCTCCTATGCTCGGACGTAAACATTGATTACACGAGAAAAATTAATCGAACGAATCGTACCGAACAGAGAATAAATCGTACAAATTTATCTCTCATTATACAACAAGAGACAGGAAGAAGAAAAGAAAGGAAACGTATGTCAACCGCAGCCGGCGATATTCGTACGGATATTCGTGCGTTCCTCGAGAGATCGCAGAAAAAGACTACGAGAGCACGATCGTTTCGTAAATATTTCGACTCTTTCTCTCTCTCTCTCTCGAACTATCCATTGACGTCATTGGCGTCTTTTATTCGAATTGTACCGGTCGTCCCGGGGACCGATCGAAATGTCGAGGCTCATAATAATGCGAGGTGCTGTATATAGATGATGGTAAATGACACGCACCACATTCCACTTGTTGATTATGCAGATATACTACAGATTTCTTCATGCAAATTATTTTTCAGTTAATTAATCTTTTTTCTGTTGACGCGCGATTTCTAGTTTTCTTCCGTTTGACGTATGCCATTAAAATTCCAGAGAAGAGAAAAAAACACGGAGAGAATATACCCCCTCTCTCTCTTGCTGTCAATTAAGGTTCTTTTTCTACTATAACAATTAATCATAATTTCTGCGGTGAGGGATTCGAACAAAAAGCGGAAACGTTACTCTAAAGATATCATTATTCGATTTGCGCAAAAATTGTAATTGCACGATACCTTGATCGCATCCACGCGAACAGAAGATCGTTATAAATTGCCGTAAATTATCGAAGATTGCTCAGTGATTTAAAGATGAGTCATTAAATTGTTTCTTTACCTAGAGCGTAGCAAAAATTTTCGACGCGTCAAGAGCGAGTAAGATCGGCAGACACGGTAAAGATACCCGGTAAAGATACGGTATCGCGGAAAGGAAAAACAAACCGTAGACAAAAACAGGCGATCGTATGTGTGTACAAAACGAGACTCTCTCGCGATTCGTCGAGGAAAAATAAATGAGCGTTAATGAATGTTAATTGCGCCTCCGCGCGCGGTCTCGCCTGTCAAATTTGACGCGTCTCACCCTCGGCCATTCATCGCGTCGCGAATCGCCGTAATGCGGCTTTTGTGGCGAAAATAATCGGGCTGATAAACGGCGCGCTTTTATAAATACACGTGGCGTCTGCCACGAGGAGGAGGGCCCTTAAATTCTCGCAACGCTCGACGTTATCCTTCTCGCTTTTACGTCGTCCGCGTATTTAATTCTCGACGTGCATGTGGAATTGTCATACCTCAATTTCACGAGGCGAAACGCGTGATTCGCGGCGTTCCGCTCGACGGTAACAAGTGTATCCGCGCTCGCGCTCGAAAACTGTGTCAACGCGCGCCTCGAGCGATCTCTCTCGCAGTCGCGTACCGCTCCGCGAAACCCTAGGGCATCCTTTTACCGTCCTCGAAACCGGATCGCCCTTCCTGGCCGAGCGAATTTTGCCGGAATTATCGAACGATGGTCGTTCTTTTTTTCTCGAAATTGCGTCATAATCAATAGTAAACCTTTGGCACACGTGCATTTATTAAGGCGTTAAATATATTTTTAAAACTGCATAGCTGATCGCGTGCGTCACATAATAGGAAAAACATGGATCGCGCGTTATTTTTTTACACGTATCTCTCGTATCAAGGTTTATCAATGATTAATGCATCGCGCGATGTCGTGAGATAAGACGATTTTCTGCTGTAAGAACGAATGCTCGCGTTCGTGGAAAGGATCCTCGGTCGTTTCCTCGGCGAAGAAAGTCGGAAGGCGATGCTCGAAAGAAGGTGTACGTCACTGCGCTCGAGCGACCTCCTGTTGCGCCAGTTTGTACGTACACATACGCACACCTACACACACACACGCACGCAAATACATACGCACAAGTGTGTCTCTTTCGCGTGGCGAAAAATGATTTTACGCACGCGCGCGCAAATATTTGCGATAATAAATTACCATAATTCCATCGGAGAGACAAGCGTATCTCTCGCGATGCTATTCGCCAGCTCTTCGATAGGACGAAACTCGGCAAACTGGCGAGCGATTACGGACATTTGACGTTACGAATTCCGGGCCGACTTTGGACCGAATTAAGCCGCGCGAATACAAGTTATCTTTGTACTTTTAATACACCGTGTATGATACATTCGTTCGTCGAGCGAGATGAAATCGTGGACGCGGAGCGCTGGCAAGTGGGGTGGATACACCAGGTCAATGATCTTCCGTTGGAAACCGGGTGGTCGAACCGACGATTCGAATCGACGTTGGGACGACACGTTTCAATCCCCCGTGCGTGCACGTACGCATGTGCGTGCCGATTAACAGATTACACGTATTACATTACGACGGGATCTTTTTGCGTTCGCGATTTACATCAATCTAAAGCATATACGCACAGCTGCGCGATGCGGGAACGTCCTCGCGGGGTATCTCGCATTTCGCATTCCGTTGACATTTAATGGCCGTTTCGCGATTGACATTCGCGACGGACGCGGCTGACGCGCCTCGGCGGGGGAGGGAGGGGTCCGGGAAATTCGCGGGACGGGGGCGAGGCGTACCTTGTTGAAGTGCGTCTGAAGAAGCCGCTCATACTGGTCGACCGCACGCAGGCAGAGCCTCGTGGTGAACGCTTCCATTCGGGCTGGCAGGGGCGCGTGGCACACGCTGCTCGACATTATTCACTCCGTTTGAGGGCAGGCTCGGTAGGTCACACTCGACACGATTGATACGCGGTCGCGTGACGCACGTACGTACGCGATACGCGCGAAAGGAAGGCTTCTCGCGGTCCCTCGCAGCCAACAAACACTCTTTTACCGTCGTCGTGGCTCGCGGGCGAACCTAACCTCCATCGAGCGTGTCGCCGAGATCATCGCCGGCCCCGATGCCGCTGACGAATGCGAGACCCACACCTACGCCCTACGCTCGCGGGTGCCCCGAGTCGCCGATTGGCCGCTCGCCGCGTTCCTCCCGTCCTTCTCGCTCTCGGTGCATTTCTCCTCCCGTTCCTCGATCTCTCTCTCTCTCTTTCTGTCTTTCTCTGGCGTATAATTCTCTGTCGCTCTTGCGCTCGATATTCTCCTCTTCTTATCAATTCTTATTCTTATTATCTTCTTGCTCCCTCGCGACTGCGTCAGCCGCTTCTGCGCTTCGGGCGACGAGACGAGGTCTCGTTTGATGACGTCAGCGCGCGATGCGTGCACCGTGAACCGTGAGTGGAACTGAGCGACGAAAGAGCGCGAATGTAGTTTTATCGGTGCGTTCTCCCTCTCCGACTCGACGGCACGTTTCGACGTAAGTTGCCTGGCAATTTGCGGTTAGGAGGAGGCTGTGAGGAATAAATCGGACCCCCTTTTTTCGAGCTCGAAGGATCGTCGCCCGGCCGTCTTTGCGCCGAGAAAGCGAGTCCTAAAGATGCTTATCGACGTTATCAAATATTTGATAATTTTATTTAGTATCGAGTGCAATTTTGAGTTCTTAAAATGGTTTTGAATGATTTTTAAGAGCTAATTATATTATACATGTAATATTATATAATTATGTTTGTTGAATAATTAAATATAAATTAAATTTAAATTAAATATAAATATTTGGGAATATTCTGCTTTTATATATATGATTATTACTGCGCGAGAAATTCTGAAATTTGAAAAAAATTTAAATAAATTACGTGAGAAAATTTAAATAATTTAAAATTTAAATAATTTACGTAGGAAACTACATTGTAATTTTGTATAGATTCTTTAAAAGTATCGTCTATTCGCTATACTCGATATAATCATTATTTATTCAGTTAATATAAATAATTTTTAAATTAATATTGATATATTCGTATATGATATTTTAGTTCGGTATCGATATTTGTTTCTTTTTATTTGAGCAGTTCTATTTCATTAAGAGAATATCGAGTGTCAGATTTTCATATTCTTTCTCTCATCAGAATTCTCTCTCAAAAATCTTTTTCTCTTTTTCTTTTGAATTCTCGTACGTCATCCTGTTATATTCTATACATATGCATGATATATACAAAAATATTTTCATTATAAACATAAGTATTTAAATAACAAATACAAAAAAATAGAAAAAGATGTAAGAAAAGGAAGAAAACAAAGAAATAAAAAAATAATCTCGATATAATTGCAATTTCGTTTTATGTCAATCTGTTTCATCCAAAATTTTACGTCATTTTAAATTTAAATTCGTTTCGATCGCAAATTATTGATTCTTTCCCTATCATACAATTCTATTTTGTTTGATTCATGAAAATTTGTTCGCGTCTTGTATGATTAAATCATCCGACAAGGATACTTTTCCTTGAATAATACTGTCTCTATTCAACCGGATCTATTCAACATTTTTCGAACTTGACGTAAGCTCATTTTCATTTAAACTGGTAACAACCAAGCTTTTCGGAATTCGTATCGGAGAATTAGCTGATTCACTTCCGGTTAACGTACGCACATAAAATAAATTCATAATTACGGCGATGAATCAGAATAGATATAGAAACACCCGCGTTTTCCGGAAATACCGAGTGGTGATGATGATGATGTGCGAATTAGGCGGGTCCAATTTTTTTTTCCTTTTCTTACACGGAAAATCTTGAATTCATTGATATTACGTGTACGATAGATAATTGTCCGTTTGTTACTTTGTTGCTGAGGTGCTTTTTTAACGGCCCGTATAACCCGGTCGATCGATGCCGTTATCTTGCGACTGATCCCTAGTCATTGACGATGATGCTTTCGAGCCTCATTGACGTAAGTCGGAGCGTGTTTATCATGGAGAAAGTCGACATCCGACTATCTTTTTTTTCTCTTGACGCTTCGCTTCGTAAATTTTGAGAAATCGGAATCACAGCTCGCGCCGATTAACGTCACGGCGATAGTTTCGCGAATTTCACCGACCACAACGCATCCGCCGAGAGTTGGCCTAAAAGCTCGTGTGAGATTACGCATTAAAAATTAAAATTCAATTAGCAAAACTCGGAATAAAAGAAGCTAAGATTTCCTGACTAAAATTTCATCTTCTGATACAAACCTAATTCTTTATTCTTTTTTGTTGTTGACGAGAAGTGTGATTGATCACGAACGAGGTATTTGATCAGCGACCATTCAGAGGTTCTTTAAAAGATTGGCGATGATTATGAAGACCTTGATGCTGAAGACTAAACTCATCTTTCATAACCTGCAATGTTGTTATTGTCACATTCCATCGTTTTTAAATATATAAATTATCGCCAATCTTTTATAACCTGCAGTGTTGTTGTTATCAATCTATCCAATATATCATCAAACAGCGAGAGAAATTTTAAAATCACATAGTGATTTTTATGAAACGTTGGATTATCAATTGCAAGTATATTTTTAATTATTCTTTTATCGATCCTGATATCTTTTTCTTCTTCTTTCATTAAATGGCGAGCACTTTAAAAACTTTAAAATAGAGTACAAATCTAATGTTTCATTTTATATAGATGTGCCAGTAAGATTCCATCGTTTCTTTGCTTTAAGTTTGCAAACTGCTAACGATGCTTGATTCTCATGATTTCTTATTACATGAGCTTCATCGAGTATCTCTTTTCCAATTAATCTGTCAAAAAATTTTTAATTGCGATTAAAATTCAAAATAGATATTTATTATTCGTATTAATAAAATTTAAAGTTTTTATATATTTTCGCTTACTTATTAATTAATTGATATTTCTAAGTTTAATCTACCTTATATATTGCAGACTTGGTTTTACGTTCTCGACTTAATATATTGTATGTATGTAGTTACAACTACATTACTTTTTGATAAATATTTAAGAACTCCCTCGATTTCTGCCATGATCTTAACAACAGATCGCGCTGCTTCACACTTCATTATCTCATTGAAGCAATAAAGGTGCAGGACACATTACTAGAATATCACCTTTATGATCTGCAAATAATAATCAGTTATCTTAATAGATTAATCATTTTAGATACTTTTTATGACAAATCAATTTAAATAATTCAAAATTTTGCGAAGAAAACACATATTTCCAAACATAAAAATCTCATAAATAAATTTCTTTGTTATTTAAATAAATTTTTACATACATAAAGGTTTACGATCTCTTCGATTACAATCTCTACGACTGCTCCATTTGTCATCATATTGTCATCGCTTTCATTCATTGAATCTTTCTGAGCAAGAGTCACAATGAAAGATATTATAGTCAATGTTACCTAAATCCATATCATCAGCTCTAATAAAAAAACGCAAGAAAAATTTATATCATCTCTGACAATATAATATAAAATCTTTTTTAAATATTTACTTAACACAATACCAGCCGGTCTTTATTGTTCTCTCCACAAAAGCATACAAGAATATGTTGCTGGTGTAACATTAGTAATACGTTTGACTCTCTTCGATTCTTTGCTTTTTCATTCTCTGATGGACGAGCGACAAATGATTCATGCAAATTTTGTAATCGTTCGACTATAAAGCGAGCTCTCTTATCGCTTGGGCTCTTTCACCCAATTGTTTTAATTTAAAAGACGTAATTGGTGGTATGTTATTAATATGCAAACATGAATAATCCGAATCATCCGATTCATTCTCGATGAAGGAGGGTTTTTCTTTTGCCGAATGTATTAATAGATCTACATTTCTAACATCAATTTCTTGTTTTGCAAAAGATAATCCTGCTTCGGATTCACTGTTTTTTTTTAGAACTGGAATCTATAAATTACAGATAATTATATTATATGGAAAAATTAATCCAACCATGTATTATCTGCAAATATGTTTGGTGTCATATGTATCATAAATAAGAACACCCGAATAAAGTACAATAGTCTTACGATTAACTACATGAGAAAATTCAATTTCCTGAATTTTATCCTAAATCTGATATTTCCTTTCTTTTTCTACTATTGTTTTCAATTGATGAATATGAAACGAGAGAGTCTATAAAACAGCGCATAATTGAATAAAAATAACACTACTTTCTCTATTTTAGTAATAAATATATTTAAAATATACAGAAATGTATATAATATTGAACACAATTGAATTTTTACCTGCAAGATCTGAATCAGAATCTGATTCACAGTCTATTATTTTTATTCTTTTTTCGCGCTATACGATTTTTAAAAAAAATCAACTGATGTGTTATAATCAATAGATTGTCATCAATAGATTTATTTCTGTAAACAAATATTTATAGAAATCATTTATCTTCATGTTTTAATAATACAAGTTTAACACAAAATTATTATATATAATAAATCTTTGAGTGAATCTTTGAGTTAATATGTTATTTATGGTACATCCTTTCTTCACGAAAAAGCCAGCAAACTCTTAAATCTTTTCTTCTTTTCCTCTAATTCTCATGTATCCTGTTTTTATATTCTACGCACATATAGGGAAAATCATTCATTCTAAATATATAAATTAAATAGCAAAAGTAAAAAAATAGAAAAAGATTTAGATAAAGAAAGAAAAAAAATTAAATCGAAATAGATATATCAGAATCGCTTATCTCAAAATTACGCGCTAAAGATTGCGTTAAAGATACCTTAATACGACGCGCTTATTAAAGTCCAATTGGCACGTTGTGTCAAGATATGTACATTGAGCGAACGAATAGTGAATGCGAATGTTTGCCGTTAAAGTTTGGAAGATATGAACGATTGCGAGTGGAACTTTTGTCAGCATTTGTTTCACGTTCCAAGCATCCGCTCACGAAGCGGTACATATATAAAAAAAAACCTCATGTGCAATATGGGTGAGAATACAAAGGAAATGTTTATACAACGCGAAAAGAGATAAACAAACAAACGCGAAAATTCGCACTCGCTTATGTATCTCTGCGTATCAACGCGATAATTGCAACGCACGTATGTATCTGTATTTGTATATCGGTATTTACGAGGCTACTGGCGTCATTCGATACAAGAAATTCGCATATCATAAACTTCACTGGGGGCTGGAAGAAAAAAATCATTGAATATCGCGCGATTAAGTATATAAATAGAGACGCATCTCTATTATTCACATCATTAATCACTTTAATCTTCTAACAGCGAAATACTGCTTCTACTGCGACTTATCGGCAAAAGACATGCAATTATGCGCATCCTGATTTACAATTAATTAAGGAAGTTGCATACAGTTTGCAAAATAATTGGAATTGTATCTTGTATACAAGTTTGTACGATGGGATATGTATTTCTTAACTCGACGCGTTATTTGATATGTAAAATGTAAAACTCATTTGCAAGATTGACAAGCATTGAAACATATGACGACGAGCATTTCCCGTCTTCGAGACCTCAAAATGACATTTCGGTCTAAGATATAATTTAATAAAGCATCTTTAACGAGATTGCTCTCTCTTAGCGTTAATCGAGCGTGGTTTCGCTTCTTAAATCGCCCTTGGACAAGTACACGCCTACGCGACCGACAACAATAACAACGATGTCCGATGTACCGCGAAAATATTCGTCGGTTCATCTCTCCCGTTTAATTTCGCAATATTGTTATTTCTTTGCGATATTAAAGAAGAAGGATTTTTCGAGTTTGCTATTTCGGAATCGATCGGCCGGGATATATCTCGGATATGTATATTTCTTCGAAAAATTATCGCCAATTTCCCTCTTCAGTCTCGCGTAATGACGTCAAGCGAAGAGCTCAAATAATCTCCGTTAAATATCGCAGAGATATCGCGGGGCATCGCTGATAATTAAGAAATTTTTGAGTGATTAAAAATCTATTGCGTCCTAAATCGAAGAAAGAAATATTGCGTGAATACATGTAAAAAAAATAAGATTTGAAAATGAAATAAGTTAATTAGGTCGACCGGAACTTACTCACGTCCACGATGACGACTGCTTCATTAATTAACCGCGATAATAATTACGATCGCATATACTGCCGACCTAACGGATAGCTTGTGTAAATTGCTAGAATCTAATATTTTTAATACTTTTTTTTTCTCTGTCAAATGTATGCAAGTATACTTGTGAAGCGAAGAAAAAACTTGTAATTTGTAAATGTTGTTTTTATTACGTGGGCGGCGGCGGCCAACCGTGAAGCGGTGATTCTCTTTTCGTCTCCGATAATTGTTATATCGCATTGTATGTGCGTCTGCGACGAATTTATCTTCCTTCCTGCCTTCGCCTTCCTCTTGTTTTATCTAATCCGAACGCAATGACGGAAAACTGCGATAAATCATTTCCGTGTACAAGCATCGGTATTTCCGTTCTCGCGATGAAACTTTTTCTCTCACGTCTGAAAAAGATACAAAAGGAAATTATATTTATATTGTATATTCTTATATACATTCTTCGACGGTCACGCCGACGTAATACGCGGATTCCGAGTGCGAGTCCTATAGTTATTCTTATCTGCGTTGTCGCACACGATTAGCAATTTAATGAAGCCTCGATGTGGTTACATCAAAGATGTGTTAAAAATAAAGGTCGATAATTCGCGAAACAGGTTCCGAAATCCCGCTATCTATTTGCAAATTCACGTCTTCTTCGCGTGTCGTTCTATGATTAATTTAGCAAACCTTCGAGATCGTAAAGAAAAAATTAATAATAATAATAATAATGATATAACAATAATATTAATAATAAAATAACAATAAAAATAATAAAATAAAAATAATAATAATAATAATAATAATAATAATAATAATAATAATAATAATGAGAATAACAATATGGTCATTCAATTGCGAGAATATTCGAACGCAATGGACAACGCGTAGATTATTTATGATCCTATTTATAGATGTATGTACGATATACGCACGCAGAAATAATCGATAATCGATATCAATGACAATTCGCCTCTGATAGATACGCAACGATATCAGCATGTAATACACGATGCACGGCTGGCGGATAAAAGCATTCTTGCCGCGTTTCCGTCGTAGCAATTACATCCATTGACGTCGACGATTATCAGTTTTTCCTTATTTTTCTCGACAATATTGTCTCTTTCACCATCCTTCTTTACGGATGTTCGCGATCCGCCGAAGCGGCGATGAGCGGTTCCGATAATACGATCGAAAGATCCGGATTGTTTTTCGCGGCTAGAAATTCATGCTGATTAGCGCTGAAAAGATGAAGAGAGAAGACGCTAACGAGGGCTGCTATCTACCGTGCAAATTAACGTTATTCAACGTGGAAATTTTTCCAACGACCGTGTTCGGGTCGATGAACGACTACGTAAACTGTACATTGCCGAAATCTGTTGTTTAACAAATCGTACGTTTGAGGAAATTAATTTATTATTATTTTTCCTCTCCATTTTTTTATATTCTAAAAGAAGCGAAATTGTGTAAATTTACCAAAAAAAGAAAATGATATTAAATTGTCACATTTTCCTCTGGCAATTTATCATTGTGTAAAAAATCTCTCTTATTTTTATTATTATTACAAATTTATATTGAAATTACGTGATTTTATTTCTGTAGAAATAAGAATTTAAGAGAGGATAATAATAAATGTTATAAATTATATATAGACACCTTTTTTGATCAAAATAAAGATTCGAGAATAAACGATCGACCGACTACTCGCTATTTGCGCCAGCAAACGTTACATTATATATAGAAATATACAGTTTTCGGCTGTAAGAAAAGATTTAATCCCGAAGAAAAAAAAAAACGAAAAATATTTCTTCTCTTTCTCTTCCTCTCTCTCTCTTTCTCTCACGCTGCTCTCTCGCTCGTCGGCGGTCCCACGCCACGCGAGTATTGTACGCGTGCAGCGGCACGGCAGCGTGGTATGCGTGGCCGCGGAGCGAGCCGCACGGAGGTCACCATTGACGCAAATCTATCCGAGTGTCACGTGAGCACGGCCGCTGGAACACAATATATACACGCGATGGACGACGACGACGGCACGACCGGTCGCGCCGCACCATTCCATTAAATCCATGCCTCCTCCGTCCCTATATATTTATGCGAGTCGCTAGCGATGGGATCGAGCCGACATCGACATACAAGCCTTGAGATCCCAAACTCCGAAGAAGCCGAAACAGGTTTCTGTCTCTCGTCTCTCTGAAAATATAAATAAATGTAAATAAAGGACGAGGACCAACGAGATTGTATACATAAGGAGACGGTGGTACCACAGGTAGCGTTTCGTCGAATTTTCTTTTCTTGAAGTGGAAACATCCGTTGATGGATATCATCGCTGGATATCGTTCCCATTGCTCGCATCGGACGAGGACGTCGGGCAGAAGGAAGGACAGGGGAGGCAGGAGCGGTGGATATTGCAGTCCGCGGCCCACCCACGTTACGATATAATGGGCAATTAATGGCCGGTGGATCGGCCGATCCTCGCTGAATGCCAATCGGCTACGGGAAGCGCCACGCTTGGACGATGCCTGTTGTTTAACCCTTTGCGCTCTGCCCGTACGTGCTCCATATGGCAACGCCAGAGAGGTCTCTTGGCTATAATTAGAACGCCACGCTCGTGTAAAGCGTTAAGCCTTCTTTAATACCGTCAATTTCATTTCCGATGCGCCTCTCGTCTTCGACTCCTCCAAATCGATTCCGCGTCGTATATTTTCTCTTTTACGAGAACTTCTTCGAATAACTGCGATATTTTTTAGGAAGTGGGAGGCAGAGATATCCTCGATGGGTCTCTCTCTTTCCACGTGAATCGCTTTATAACGTCAGCAAGGACCTTGCACTAGCCTAGTTTCAATCCTGTAAGATAAAACGGTATAAAATAGTGTAATACTTATACGAAAGAAAGAGAGAGAGAAAAATAATCTTCTACTCCTTATCACTTTTTAATTAGGTCAATGTCGCTACGCGATTCATTGCTTTCTTTAAGCAGCCTCGTAATGTCGTACCTGAAACCGACCTAAAAGTCGACCAATCGATTCACGAACAAGTAGAATGGCTCGTTTCAAAGACATTGCTCGTAGATACATATTTGTGTGTTAATTCATTTTTACATTCCAGATAGATTATTACAATGCACAATTAGATTTATATTCCTAGAGTGCGCTAAATAAGAAGCTTATCTTTCAGGTCGTTTCACGTCGCTGTATTGTTAGACCGATAATGTCAATTTAGGAATATTTTGCTCGAGACATACTTCTTTCGAGAACGAAAGAAAAGAAAAAAGAATTTATCGCTCTTTTCATCCTCGTCTGCACGATTTGCTCATCGTGATGGAACTTTATTAAAATTTCAACCTTTATAGCTCCCGAAGAATACACATACAAAATACAAATACACGCACAAGGCGAAAACAGACGCGATGTAACAATGCCTTTGGCATTAATGACACAATGGTGTTGCAATGCCGCAGGATTATGCAACGATCAACGCTATACACGCAACAGCTGATGCACTATAGAAATAGTAAAGTTGGATAAAAACAAAATATTTTGCAATTATCAATTACATAGAGCATAGCAAAAAAAGCAAAAAAGGTAGAGGAATTATCGATTTAATTTTAGAATAAAAAACATTATCTTGCGGGAAAATGCATCGTCGAGTCTTTTTTTTTCACTAGAAAGAAAAATGGTTTTACAACAACAATTTTCTGGGTACGGAAAATGAATTAAGATAGATAACTGATTAAAGCAAATATTGTGTGATATCGCATACGTTTTGCATTTAATTAATTCAAGTGATAGAGACAAAATTTATATTTAAATTGTTAATGAAATTAAGGAAGTCTTTTTATGAAATCTATTAAGATTAATCATTGTCACAAAGTTTGACTGTACACAGAAAAATTGTTGCTCACAAATATCATACATTCATACACATATCATACATTCTAGCTTTAGTATCGAAACTCATGTTTATTCAAAGCAGCGATTAATATTGGAATCTAAATTTATTAGAAAATTTACTAGAATTTTCCGCTATTATCAATTCTATGTGTTACAAAGCAAGTGTTCAGCAGGTGCAGAAAATAGCGATAAATTCCTGCCGTGACACCTAGAAGTCTACCTACATCGGCGAAGCATTTCTTTCACAATTGAGATCGCGTTTCTTTGAATAAAAGAAACGCGATCTCAATTACATTATTAGACAATGCGATTCGCGAGTCTCTTTGAAATGTCTGCATCGCAGGAGTGTTACTTGCGCGCGTCTCACTCATTGCAAAAATTAAGTCGTATTATCTTCAATCGTCGAACGCCTGCAAATGAAATCCGAGGAGCGCGCGCGCACGCTCGCGTGGCGAGGGGGAGGCCTATTATCTTATTTATTCGCGCTTACGTACGATTGTGCGATACGAAAGATTGTGCGGTATTTATATTGTATATGTACATATACTCGTTAGACGAAAACAACGTCCTCCCAGCGTAAAGATGCGTAAAATAACACTTATTAAATTCGAATGACGATAACTAAAAAAAAAAAATATTGTCATATATAAATATTGCATATAATGCATGCATATATTCTCTGGCAAAATGACAATAAGAGAGAATCGATATAAAAATGTATACCTTTATGTGTATAAAAGTGCTGGATGATTCATTGGAAGAAGGAAACGCGCGAAAATTATGGATGCTCGAGTCCAAAAGGCAAGACATCATCGATCGATAAAACTTGTCCAAGATATCATCGAGAAGTTTACTGCAATCGACTAGTTTCAACGTATCGATTATTCTAGTCGCAATCGAATTCATTTCGATTAGAGAAGAGACCCGAAAAATGGCGGGCGATTTGAAAATTGAGTTAGCGCAGAAAATATATACATTTATACAAGTACAGTAGAAAAGAAAAAAAAATAAAATACAAATAATTTTATATATAAAATTCTATGAAGAAACAACAAAGCGTAATAAACATCGATGTATCCCATAAAATAAAGGTCAACTGCGCAAAATTACTAAAAACTGTTACATGATATAGTCCCCCTTTCTGTCGATATAATTTGAAAAAAAAAATCATATAATATAATACAATTTTAATTTCCAACAAGTTACGAATGTCAATTTAAATATTGGTTACAATTTCTCTTTTTTGCCGAGAGCAACGAGGTTGGAACGAGAGGGAGAGAGAAAGAAGGTATAAAAAGTGCAACTGAAATATGAATAATAATTAATTATTCGTATCAAACGTACGCATTGAAGAGCTCAAAGCTGGTAGCTTGGTTAATCGAAGCAAAGGGAGCTAAAATTTCTTCGTCCCGATTGGCCAGACTTGTCAATCTTCAACGCACAGGCCCCGATACGAGCTTTACGCGCTTAACTTCCTTCGAGAATTCGTTTGCGAGTATCTTCGATATATCGCGAATGTAGCTTCCTGTTCGTTCGAGGCGCTGTTTCACGTTTCACGGTCGTAGGACCTCGGAAGAGTCGGCAAGACGTATCAGCAGAAGCAGTGGAGGAGGAGGAGGTGAGAAAGAAGAGGAAGAATAGAACTCGCTAACGTTAACGTTTCGGTGATCTTAACGTTTTTTTTTTTCGTTTTCCTGGTCCCGTAGACGGATCACTGGTCGCAACCATGGCGATGAACGTGCCGTACGAGGCGATCGGCAAGGGCTTCGTCCAGCAATATTACGCGCTCTTCGACGACCCGGCGCAGAGACCGAACCTTATAAACATGTACAACGTAAGTGGAGTTCGATAGCCGGGCGAGAACTAAGGTCTCTCTGTCAATTCCGTGCGGCTACTTCTGTCGCGAGTGGCCTCTTTCGCGCATAAACGCTCTCTCGCTTGCTCTGACCGTACATAACCTTTTGCAGACGGAGACGTCCTTTATGACGTTCGAGGGCCTGCAGATACAGGGCGCCATCAAAATTATGGAGAAGTTAACTGTGAGTAAAATTCACTCTTAGACCTTCGAGCCCCTGCAATAGAATCTATCATTCGTAATTATATCATTTCCCTTTCTCCTTCCCTCCCCTTCTCTCACCTCTTGCCAGGTAGATTACTTGCTGAATTTTTTTAATGGAAGAAACTGCCTGTCCTTGTATCTAATTTATGTGTATTTGTAAATAAATTTTACATGTCACTTTGATTTACAAATATTATTAAGGTTCGAAACTTTTCTAAAGCAAAATAGGAAGATTAGTCAGACAAAGAATATAGATACAAAATCAAAAATATATGATATTCATAATTGGAATATTTTAGACTTCTGTCTACTTTTATACATGCTTTTTCCCATTTTGATTTTGGTGTTTTTTCAGCTTTCCATTTTATCATTCTTAGTTGCTACAAACCGAAAAAAAATTGAATTTAATTATCCTAGCATGTATTAACTTGTTACCTTGTTTTTCAGAGTTTATCGTTTCAAAAAATAAATCGGATAATAACAGCGATTGATTCACAACCCATGTTCGATGGTGGAGTTCTCATTAATGTATTAGGAAGGTTGCAGGTAAGAAAAGAATTGTGACAAGTATTTTTTGATTTCTTATCGAGAATTGTCTCCAATGTAAGAGATGCGAAACAAAATATTTATAATTTATAATTTAGGAAATTAAACTATATAACAGAATTAGTATTACGTATCGCAAAAAGTCATATTGAAATCTTGTACATTTTTATATGTAATAGCTTTGTCTAAACCAATCGTTCAGTAATTTAATTCTCTTGCCTTTTTAATATTTCTGCAAGCTTGATTTTAACATATATATGTATAATTTTATGAAAAAAGAAAATTTTTGATGTATTAGATGTGATATAGTTACTGTAGGATTTTCTTCTATACAAAACAGTGATTTTTGACTCAATTTGTAGATAAATATTAAATGCAGATGAAAGAGAAAATAGAAAAAGAGTTGTATAAGTTTTTTAGTTATTTAAAATTCTCAAAGAATATTCAGTGATTATTATTGATGATCGGGCAGACTGATGAAGATCAGCCTCACGCCTACATCCAGACATTTGTCCTGAAGCCGATTGGTACCAGCTTTTATGTGCAGCACGACATCTTCAGACTTGCATTACATGACACGGTTTAGGCATCAGGTATCGCAAAATCCCTTCCGTTGATCTGCATATCGCGCTGACAGGCAAGCTATGCCCGATATTTCCAATCGCAAGCATTCTACAGAGATTGCTTTTCTGCATTATGTACAATATGAGTTGGCAACTATTGCGAATGTTAAGATGCACATATATTCTGTTAATCAACTTTTTCATATGATACTTTTTCATATTTTATGTGTTCTTTGTGTACATAGCTTTTATTTTATCCTGATTTTATTTTATTTAGTACACAGCTATAATCATGTTCATAAATTATCCTTATGCTGTAATAAAAATCTGCATTACAGTTATGATTATTAATTGTAATAACCTAAAGTAGCTTTACAATTTTTTTTCTTACAATTTTTTTTAAATATTTTAAATTTAACTTTTTTTAAATAATTTTTTATATTCTTAAGTAGAGAAAGATATATATTTTCTGCTATTTGTTTTTAATCAACATTTCTTAATTAATAAAGGAAGATATGTACATTATTTTTAATCTAAAATAAATTATATAAAAACAAAATTTTATTTTTTTTGTATGCTTCAAAAAGTGTATAAATTTGCATGAAAAATGTCTTTAATTCATGAAGAGATCTTAAATATGATCTAAGGCCATAAGTCATGACCTGGCTCTCTTATTTATGCACAACTGTATAGGCCTGAGACCATTAATCCAAGTGTTAGAAAAAAAGTGGCTTAACATAGTATAAGATTAAATTGCTGAACAAATTGGAATAATGATTGGGCTGCAATGATTTAAACATTAATATTTGGAAAGCTGTTACGTTTACAGCTTTAATATTACTGCAAAAACAATTAATTAACATTAACATTAATATTATTTTATCATCATGCATTCTGCAATATCTATCTTTATGTAATAAAAATAATCTTTCTTGAATTACAGGCAGATGAGGACCCACCACATGCCTTCTCACAATGTTTTGTGTTGAAGCCGATGGGAAATTCATACTTTTGTCAGCACGATATCTTTCGCCTTGGCATTCATGATTCGGCATGAACGAGAATGATCGGGCTGGTTTCCGCGACAAGTGTGTGATCGACAGACGGGTTGCCGAGCGACGGAGACCCTGGAGATCGCGAGCTAATAAGTGAGCCACCTAATCTCATCGATAATCCTTTCTCATCACGATCACATACCTATCCCCATTCTTTCTAGATAATATCACGAGTTTTATATGAAGAATATCTTTCCGCATATATCTTGGCCACAAAAAACCAGAAAAGAAAAAAAATCGGGAAACATTCAATTTAAATAATAGTTGCGTCGCTTTTCTTCATACATATAATATGTTGTGTTTCGAAAAACAAATTTATATTTCTTAGTTATACGTACTAGCACAACACGCATACATACAACACATATACATATACACACATAAATGTCTCATTGATCGGGAGAGTTTGATTTTTGACGGCAGGTAATATATTTGCATTACTACGCTTCAAAATGTATTGTAACATATTTTACATTTAATGCTGTGTATTTTTGTAATACAAAAATGTTGGCCATTAAATATACAAGAGTACGGAATTAATCGGACAAATTGATTATCTATTCCACAAACGCGAAAAAATGAAACCTTGACATTTTTGTCGATCACGACAAAACACACAGCTCTATTGTGATGTGCGCAAATTATTATCATTGATATGCAGTAGGATATTTAGACAGTGACCGCGCTGAATGAATTTTGAAGCGGAGAATTAGTATAGTATATTTTTAATGTGATATTTCATTATAGGAAATTATAAGAATAGCTATATAATTAAGTACCGAAAATACTCATTTTTCGCCCTTTTCTAATATTACTTGCAAAGAAAGAGAAAAAAATAAAGGTTTTATAATAATATTAATTCTACAAATATATCAATAATATTAATAATCTATAAATTTCCACGTTTTGCCTGCTCCAATTCGATAGCTTCGAACAATGCTTGGAAGTTACCAGCGCCAAAACCCTGAAATGAGATATATATATATATATAAAATACAATAAATTTTTAATTATTCAATATTAACACGCGAATTTCTTCCAAAAATTTAGATATTATATAAAAAATCTTACAGATTTAGGGACGTAAATATTAGATATTTTACATCTTTCTCGATACATACGTTATGATTGCGCCTTTGTATGACTTCTATGAATAACGTCGGCCGGTCTTGTATATTTTTCGTGAATATTTGTAGAAGATAACCGTTTTCATCGTAATCGATTAGTATTTTCAATTTCTGCAAAGCGATAACGCGCAATGGAATTAATAATACACGTTGCAACTTAATGTATTAGAGTTTCAATCCGCTCTCAATAAAGGTACCTGTAGTATATCCAAGTCTTCAACGATTTTCGTGCCATTGATTTTCAGACGATTTCTGAGCATTTCGTAATAACTGTCGGGCACATCGAGAAACTCCAGTCCTCTGGCACGCAGATTCGTTATCTGCAAAATAAAGTGATAAACTGCGTAGAGATATCTTAATAAGAGATATCTTTTTAAAAAATATCTTAATTCAGTGAATTGATCTTTGAATCTTAATTCTTAATAAATTGATTATTGGTAAAAATTTATTATTATTAATAAAAATGATATGTTATTGTAAATTATTATAAAATATAATTCCTAATTGTGCAAAACAATAATATAGCTAATTTTAAAATTATTTATATATGTATCGTGATATACATTATCAATATTAAAAATTTATAGTTCATGTTACATATATTATAAATTTTTTATTGACAGTATATATTCGAACATTATCTGTATTGCACAATTTCATTCTATATTGTCTATGCATAAAACTCGGAATTTTTTTTAGAACGTTCAATTACCGCTGTAATAATATCGCTCGTGTTGAGAGCTATATGCTGTACACCGGCGCCGCCATAATATTCGACATATTCCTGGATCTGGGAGCGTTTTTTGCCGAACGCGGGTTCGTTGATTGGCACCTTCACCGTCTCTTCCCAATTCGTCATCACGATAGATCGCAGCGCGGAATATTCTGTGTGCAACTGTTTATCATCTATCGACCAGAATCTGTGAAACTGCAAACACTCCTCGTACCTAAGAAAGAAAAAAAAGAGTCTTTAATGTTTAATTTGATATTTTATTCTATTTTTATCTGAAGAAGATATTTTTTAAATTTATCTGAGATATTTTAAAAAGTTCCGATTTACTAACAATTTTCATAAAAGTGAATTTTATTACAAATCTTACGCATTTTATCACGTATATTTCATAACATTAATATATTTTATTAATAAATTGATTTTTTGCGTAACACAAGCGTTACTATTAATTATCATTATTATATAAAATCAAAAAGTTTATACGCTTAAGAGTTAAGACGTCTTGTTAGCATAAATATGTTTACATATTCAAAAGTAGGTACAATTTACATACCATTTCGCAACGGGTTCCATCTGCTTGTCGGGCTGGTTACCTACCACATGGTCCACAAAATTCAAATGTGATTGTGGCCTACAATTATTTGAGAAAAATATTTCGATATAATTTAGAGAATGAACATGTAGATTTATACTAAAAGCTATATTCATCATGTTTTATAAATATGTTAACGTTTGTATATTGCAATTACTCTTAGAATATATTAAACAAATATTGTGTAACAAGAGATATTTTTTAAAACTTTGTTTTATGGAAGTATATTATTAAAACATTATGGAATCTTTTATAGAATGGAATAATATTCTAATTTTATTTCTGCGAGATTTTTGCGCTTTTGTGTACGTACAATTGCTTGAGGAGAACATCTTCCGGTGCTCTCATGAAACCCGGTAAAAAGAAGCCCTTGTATTTTGACCTGTCAATGAACGTATGCAGCGTGTCACCGTACTGTGATAAAAATGACAAGTTGAATTAATGAACATCCAAAGGATATTAATGTAGTTCTTTAAAAAAAAATTCTTTAGAAAAGTATTACACACTTTTTTTTATTACTTACAGTTCTAACGGTAGCCATCCTCACGGTACCGTATTCGTCACTGTCCTCCCATATATCGTGTACTATTTTGGCACCTTTCTCTTTGGCTACCTATACAATATTAATTGAAAAAGACGATTAAGAAAGAAAGTATGCTAAAAATGACTATAACAATAATTTTGATTAATTAAAGCGATGTTTTTCTTTATTTACGTTTCTATTTTTGCCAATTTCAGAAAAAAGTATTTTATCTTATAATATAAAAATTTTCGCACAGGAAAAATTTTATTTTAATCTTTCTTTTTCACCTTCACGATCGTATCGATGTCTTCAACACTGAACGCCACATCTCGCACGCCGTCCCCGTGTTGGGAAAGATGTTTCGACATTTCCTCATTATAAGGTTCATAAGGAGACTCAAACACGAATATGATCTACAATTTGAGTGATTAGAAGATTAAAAAATGCGCTGGACGATTAATGTTTCGAGCGGAATACTTATCCTTTAAATAAATCATTAAGGTAAATTTATTGATATTATGTCTTATCTTTCTATTAATTGAATTCAAAATTACTCACTTTGTTCTGTTTCACAACGTGCGCGGCTACTTGTCTGGAACCAGTTTCCAAACCACGGTATCCTAACGGCTCGAATCCCAGCCTACATCGATAGAAACTGGCAGCCTGAAGATAATGAATAATCTCATGTGTACGTATAATCTATGTGATTATTAATCTATTATTAATCTATTATTAATTTATTTTGTGAGATTTTTTCAGTTTCTTGATATGTGAGAAATACTATAGATAAAAGATGGATTAAAGAAAATACTAATAAAAAAATTTATAAGTAAGCATATTATGATCTCGATGAAATTCAAAAGGAGCTGTAACTCGGAAAAAATCTTATTGAACGTATATGAACATTTGTTATATTTTAAGAGTTCTCTTCTATCGGAATCTCTGCTCCTATAGTACTTTATACATATCAAGGAATATTTTATATATGAGAATTTACCTGCTTTGCATTTCCGACCCAGAATCTTATGTGATCGAAGCTGAGGAATTTTCCTCCAATGGGCTGAAAAATGTAAACCTCGCATTACATATATATAACAGAACGTAATTTCAAACGAGGATATATTTGTTTGTAAAGGATAATACTTACCTGAGGCCCTTTATTGTTGTAAGAAGTCTGGAAACAAGCAAGGGTTTAAACTTGGAGACATATAAATATTGAACAAATAAGAATTTTAAGAAAAAAATATAATTACAAATTTTTTCTTTTTTAAAGTAAAATACCTTTTTCTTAAATAGATATAGTAATTATAGTAGTATAAAGTCATAGAATAGAGTATATCAGAGAAACATTATCTTTTTATAAATATATAATTATCGTACAATTTTATATGTATCGGACAAAATCAATTTATGTGATTATATATTACTTTAGACAATTACAATAATTATAAATAAAATTGAAAAAATGACACTCTTTAAGATGGAGAACGTTTTTCTTACCATGGTGTCTTCTTGAAATCGTGGAAAATGGCAAAAGGAGTCTTCTGACGGTGATTTCCGTGACGGCGATTCCGATTATCATAGGCTACATATCGAGTTTCGCTTTAAATATCAAATCCACGGACAAGCGGTAGAACCTGCGTTGTCATACGATTGGTTCATGGCGGGGGCTTGTTTGCGTCACGTTCTTTGTGGTTCATAAATCAGATCAGTAACGAGTAGCAGGTTTTTTTAATTGAGTGTGTCGTAAAACTCTGACACACTCAAATGACATTCATGTTAAGTGGGCTCGCCTTAATGATGCTGATCATAGTTTTCCGATTAAGAATCCTAGGACATAAACAGGCTGTTTAAGTCTAATAGTATTGCGTTATTGCATATGTAGAATGAAAGTTTCATTTTTACGAGACGCTCTTATAAGATAAACATCTCTTGATTAATCAAGTATTACATCAATATAATTTGCTCGCAAAAATATATCTCTGTTTTGGCAAAATAATTTTAAATAAATAAATAAAATTTTTGCAAGTAATAATAAATTTATGGAAATGTGAGAGAATCGTAAAATTTTAATGCTACACTAACTTTAAAGTTAGTAGATTAAAAAAAGTATTAATGTCTATACATTTATATAAAAAATACTATAATGAATTTTTTTTCAATTTCTCAATATCATCTGCTTCAAAGAACTTGAAGAAGAACTCAAATTCTATAGTTAATATTTCTATATTTCTATATATTCTATTCTCTCTATAGTTAATTGTCACCTTCAGTATATTAAAATAATTTCTCGTGTTATATTTTTTGTCCATATATCATAAACATATTTATGCTGTTTAGCGTTAGAATGCAGACTTTCCGCGTACACACCCTCTAATGCATTTATGCATTTGTAATACATAATATCAAGAAATACGTGCTGTTTACGTTATATATACGCTCCAATGATGCATAATATTAGCGCGATAATCGTGATACGTGCTTGTTACAAACATTAAAATTTTAGATAAATCAATAGTACGTAAATTAAATTTTAGATATAAAATATGACAATTATAATTTTACCATTTCTAATTATACATTATGTTATAAGATTATATTACACATGTGTTACTATATTATATTTTTATATAATTTTAATTATATTTTAAATTATAAATTAAATGTAAAGCTTTCGATTTGATTTCAATAATATGTGGATATTAGTCATTTCAAATTAATAATATTACGTACGAGGGATCATAGGATGTGCTGGAAAATAAGTTTAAAAAAGAGACTTGAAAAACGAATCACTTTATTATAGTTTTCCTCTTAAATAAAAGACAGATAAGGAAAACTATTAAATATAAAGAGAAGATCTCGCCACGCAATGCGATTCACTTTGCTCGCTAAAAATGCAATATATTAACATTTAAACCGCAATCTAAAAATTTGGGGATTATTCGCATATCGTTCTTGCTAAAAACTCGTTTTGCGGATGATTATTGCGCAAGATCATCGATTTTCACCCAAATATCGCGATAAAAACGGATTTAGTATCGAGACGCCGATAAAAAGTTGCAAAAAAAGATGCATGAAATATCCTTACATTACAATTGACAATACCAATTCAGACGATTTTAATATCTTATAAATATCACTATTTCTTTTCTTTTTTTTATCTACAAAAGCAGTTCGGGCGATTATAAATACTGGACGCAGCGTGTTAACTGAATACTGACCTCCGTTTTTCTCCTCTCACGAATATATTTTCAATTCTATTTTCGCTCTAGCAAAACTGGACGCTTATCGATTAAAATGCAAATAACTTAATGGCTTATTATGCATACATATATATACAATGAATCAATTATATATAAGATGTTCGAGAATTGATGGATGATGAAGAAATATAGTATTATTTTTCTTGCGAAGTAAAAAACTTCGAGTGGAATTATTCAATAATATAATATTACTTATCTTTATCTCTAAGGCTCTTTAATCCTTGAGAAACTTGTATTTCTAAATTATTTATACTATTAACATATCTCAGAATACACATGTCAAAAAAAAAATATTAAAAACTATCTTTCTCAGTTTTAAAGGCAATAACATTGTGCATCTACTTTCCATCGATCCTAAAACATTTTATATACAATAACATATATAATATAAATAACATTCATTATAATATCTGCGCAATTAATGAGATGATAAAATATAAATCAGATGGTCGACAATTATTATTATCATCATAGAAAATTTCTCGACTCGTGCAGTAAGTGATAGGAATACTATAGATATATTGCAATGATATATAAAAAAACTTCTTTGATTATTTCTTTCCTCTCCATGATCATTTTTCTTGTAATTACACACTTGATACATTGGAAAATCACAGATTACAAAAATATCAGTAGAAAAATGTCAGCATATCCTGTTAAAATTATCTCATCTCGATTTATAACTGACGGAATGTCTTCGATTCTTTTTTCTCTTTGTAATTGTATTCAAAATATGAATTGGATTTCAACTCATCGTTTTCTTTGCCGAGGAGCGAAATAAGCGAAATAGTAAACATATATGTGTGTATATTATTTTCCTCACTTTTCCTGAAAAGAGGAAGCGACGTACGTTTCTTGATTTACAGTAGCACGATCCCGTGATCCCTTTCTAATCGGCGCTTTGCCTTGAGTGCTACGATTCCCATCAGATCTGCCGGGGTCGGAAGAACTGCAAAAGCGCTCGGTGCCACCACTTGTTGATAAAACACTTCTACTCCTCCACACTGATTACCGTAAACCACCGTATCCTCCGTTCTGTTCGATAAAGATATTTTTGTCTTAATCACGGAGATGATTATGATAAATACTATTTTCCTCTACTGCTACAATTTTTATTTTACATACATTCATTCAGCAAGTTATATAAATTTTTTAATCTTTAATTTTTTAATTTATTATTGCGAAATATATATATATATATATTTTGTAAAGCTTTATTAGAAAGCATTTGTTTTACGAGAACATTTCACAAAACTGGAGGTAATCCACAAACAAAAAAAAACGAGGTAAAAAATGAATGTGTCTTGAAAATTTAATATAAATTATAAATAATATAAAAAATAATTAACGTTAGTCTTTTTTTAATTCGCAAAAATTTGATGTCATATATTACCTGACGATAATATCCGTTAAACTGCTTGTTTGTGTAAATCTGTCATGGAGACAAGAGACTATGTCCAGTTCGGTGACGCCCCAGAGTCCGGAACGTTGCACCGTGTCCCATTGCGGATCTACACTTAAAATACTGTACAGTTCTTTGTTTTCTGTTGATGGCATTGGTTCCAAACACTGCTGCAGCCGCGATTCGAGTTTACCCAACGTGCTCACACAGGTATGCCACTATCAAACAATTTATTATATTCTTTTACATTCTTTCTTATTTTTATATGTATAATATCAATATGAATGAGAGAGAGAACATTTGAAATGCGTTTGTTGTATTATTTTATATATCATATTTTTCAATTCCAATTTTTGTTTATTATTCTATATATTATTTATATTTTTCTATATATTATTCTATATATTGTTAGTTTTTGATTCCTAAAAATCTAACAAGTTTCATAATGCATGCACAATTCACACTTACCAGAGCATGTATCAAATCCGGATTGTTCGCAGTACCATTTTCCATGAGCAGCACCAACACCATATTTTGATAGCCACAGAGGAAAAGCTCAGTCTTCTCAAGACAGGCAGTGGGATCATCCTTGTTGACCCAATCCTCGTCTAGCTCATCCTCGCCGTCGCTGGCCTCCTTTTCCACCGATTCTAACTTCTGCCTCATCAACCGATTCATCGTCGTCGTTGTTGTTGCGGTGATGGCTGTGGCTGCACTGCTGGAGAATCCGGAGAGATCGCGGAATTCACTCGGCGTCGTATCACGACTGCAAAAACCGCTAGTTCGTTCATCGGCCAGCAAGCTCAGCTTTGACATTAACGGTGTTAATTGTAGACCGTCCAGCTTGCGCCTCTGTGGGAAATCGCACGAATTGCCGCCACATTCTGATGTCGATCTTCGTCGATCGTCACCGTCTTGTATCTCGGTGACAACGTTGAGGGGCTTCAGCGGTAGACTCATCGATCTCTTGTATGTCTCCTGTTTGGTTTTGTCGTAGCCAGGTTTGATGCGTTCTAAACATTTACATTTGAAATATACATATTTGAACGATTTATTTCATTAAATATTTTTTTACTTAATGTTTGTTTTCTTGTCTGTTAAGGTTTCTTGCAATTTAAATCATGTACCTTCACCAGCATCTTTTGTACTCGAACTTGAGCTGCTATTCATCGATAATTTTGCGCTCAGGTCGCTCGATAGATTCCTCGATTGCAGATTGTCATCGTCGTTGCAACGTTCATGAATGGCACTGCTGTTGCCGCCGTCATTGCGCAACTCCTCGCAATGAGAAGCGACATACTGCTCGTACAACGACTGCGAGACCGGAAGACCGTCGCATCGAAAGACGGGATAACTGGGATCGGTGATGGTGCGCGAGTATCGTTTATTGCTTGTGACGAGTTTCCGCTGGGATGAATTCGAATCGTGGTCATCTGGTGAAGCTTCACTGAATTTGTACAATCTGTTATAGTAGTAGAATTTATATAATATTTAAAAAAAAGAAAATAAATTGTAAAAGTTCTAATATAATAACATTCGAATTATTATTCAATTACATTTTGTCCAGTTCCGGTCGATAAGTCCTAGGAAGACCGTTCAAGCGTGGTTTAATCGATGACGTTAGATCCGGCAGGCTCACACTCTTCCGATCAGGATCCTTTCTCTTCATCAGTTTTTTCTTCGAGGTAGCGTTTTTCAGTTTGTTTAGACGTTTGCACCTGTTTTATGATTAAAGTTGAATTATTATTATTGTAAAATTGGATATTTTTTTGAGTTTTTCAGTTTTCAAAATGCATAAATCTCCATTCTATAAAAATGTAGATTTCTAATGATAGTTCCGAGATAAATATATATACCTGAGCGCCTCTTTAACGACGTCGGGAATATCATCATCGTCATTGTTTTTCAATGAACTTCGATGTTCGTCGTTCTCGCCGCTCTCAGACGAGCAGATGAGCATGGCGTTTCCGTGCAACACTCGGTCCACATCCTTCAACGGCGTTGCGCAGATGCTGGGCGTGAGCGGATTGACTATGGTACTGCTAATCTTAGGACGCTCTGGTTTGATCTCCTGCTTGCGTCTGTTCGGCGATTCGTGATTGATCGTGAGCGGTACTGACGATACGTATTGCGACGCTGGCGGATAATTCGCAGAGTCTAACTCGCCTTCTTCGGGAACGGTGAATATCCGTGAAGTATCTCTTTTCATAGCGGACATGATAGGAAGCTCCTTGATGCCGCTTTTAGACACATTCTGAAAGTAAATCAAATTGAGCATTCATAAAATAATAACGTTTTAATCGAAAAACCATGATATCCAATCAAATTTTATGTATTTACGTCTTAACATCAATGCTATTGTGTCTATTTACCTTCCTTTGCAATACTTTCTTAGTCACAGTGTCCAGACATGAATTGTAATATCGCTCGTTATTTGCCTCTTGCATCAACTTTGCAAACTGCTTTCGTTCTATATACACTTGTAATAATTGAACGCCGATCGGCAAATGGAATTCTGTGGGTATTCTTTCTGCGGGAGCCTTTAAAATGAAATTTTTTGATGAAGTTCTTGTAAAATAATTAATATAAGTGATCAATTTCGTTAAAAGTTAATATGTGCAAAATCATCATTCCATTAGATTAATTCACGTTCAGATAAATCTAATTAATAATAAAAAATACCTTTATCCTATAAGGATCAGTTATGACGATTTGTTTTGTTAAATCCGCTCCTAGTTGTGTTGAGACTATCCTGAAAAGAAGAAAATAAGAATGAATTATATAATTAAAGATGATGATGATGCAAATAATGAACAATTAATAATTGGCAATAATATATAAGTACATGATAATTAACATTAATATCTTAAGACAATATCTATGCATACAATTTCATTTATAAATGTTTCATTACTTGTTATTATAGAATAATGCTCCTCCTAAAATGCCGTTTATTTCTTGATAATGCTGCAACATTTGCATCCCTTCCAAAAATATGTTGCTAGCACTCTGCAAAAAACACAATATATATTAATATTTATATTTATTTTTATGCTCACTTTTTTTATTCAATATCACATTTAATTTATATAGTCTGCATTAACCTTTGGAAGTTTAATTACAGGAATGCTGGAAAATAGATTGGCACTGTGTTGAAGAATTGGCAGATAGGTCTCAAACATCTGATACAACTTCTCAGTGAATCTATTATGATCGTTGTTGAGGGATTCTAATATTTTTATGAGATCACAATGGAAAAATTTCAACAACGATTCCAGAATGTCGGCGCGTCTCTCGAGTATCCAATCATGTATGTTTCTATCGGTTCCTACTGCCTAGACCAAAAAACATCACAGACAATAATACCAGAATATAACAGAGATGTTCAATTTAATAACTCTATAATAAAATGTACTCACCAGCACATACTGCCCAAATTTCTTCAACACAAACTTTCCACCTTGTAATGTGATAGAACGTGGTGCTGAAAACGATGTTGACAGAAAATGATAAACACCCATTAGCTGACCTGCCAAAGCCAATCTTTGTGTGAGAGATACCCAAGCTGGATGAAAATACATGACTGCTTCAGCAGGGTCATCCTCTTCTTTACAACACTTTATAGTGTCGTAAACAAATACTATCATCATCTCTCTGAAAACAAGAGGATATTGCTTTAAATTCTATAATAAACATCTTATCGCTGTTTCACTATAAATTATAGGATAATAATAAAGTCTAATAACATAAGGAATATAACATATAAAATATATATAGATGATAAATTTTTATAAATATTATATAAACAATGTAGAACTCTCTTTTAATAAAGCAAAATAGAAAGCTTTGATAGAGATGTGGTGAATTACATAATTCTCCAAAAAAGACCAGCTCACTTTCTGTACTTGATCGCAAAATTTGTGCAGCTTATCCAAGCTTAATCTATCTAAATACTTTAACAGCGACTGCAAACGTATCTTAAATTTTCTCATTGTAACAAAATTGTTTAGCGCAACGCAGAGATTTTGCAAAGTTTTGCAGAACGTTTCAGTTTTGGCGCATAACTGAGTGAATCATTTATAAGTGAACGATCATCAATTAAGCGGTATCAATAATAATATATCGGAACAGAGATAAGATTAAGCTACAAGTAGCATGCACAAGTATATGATACATATACAAGTACATATGTCGCGGAACTTGTTTGCTCGGCAAGTCAGTAGCTCGCGGAGCGAGTTTGGACTTGCCAGCTAGAGAGACGTGTTCCAGTGATAGCTCGCATCGAGACAATCTCACTTCTCGGACATCCTCTTTCGTCAAGATCCAAGGAGTCATTGCACGCAGTACAATTATTGGGTCAGATGAGAAAGTAAACAGAGCGTTATCGCTCGCAGTGTCGCCTGCCTGTGTACTTTCTGACAATGTGTAGATATAAGTACTATAATTATAGATAAGTACGTGATCGTACTTCGCCATGGTGATCGAAGATAAATCGCTGGTCGCGTTGCAAAGCACGTATGCAGTTATCTGTCGTCTGTCAAGTCTCCCCGTTGCTCTCCTGTCAGATCGTTAACGCGATCCTCGGCACCTGGTCGCCGTCCGGTAATGACGCCTCGTGGAAGCACACCCTCGTCGCGTCGTCCACCGGCGAAAAAAGCCGCGTGCCATTTTCTCTTCTTTTTTTCTCAATACACGATTACACGGAGCGAAGCCGCTCCTCTCTCGCCGCCATCCTGATATTGATCTCTCGATTTGTGATTTGTGTGCGTACGATACGTATATATATGTGATGAATGTATATATGGACAACATATACAGACGCGAGAGAGACGCATTCGCGCAATCTCTATTCTTTTCTATTTCTTACTTGTTATTTTTCACAGATAGTGATACTAGTATATTTTTCATATAATATAATCCTATTAAGAAATTACGCCGAGTTGTATATTAAGTGTTTATGTAATATAATGCATTATTATTTACACGTGCATTATTTTATGACTTATGAAAGCACGTATGATGCACGCTCGTGAATTTAAATGTAGCGGCAATTTTTCTTACTACCGGTCACGTGACTCTTACTCTTCCCATTTCCGGGATCGCACAAATATGAAATTTTTGTATCATTTTATATTGTATTTTTTCATAATTTCTTTTCTCTCACAATTCTTTATTACGATTCTCAAAAATGAAGAAAAAAATTAGCGACTCTTGGAAATGACATTAAAAAAATATGTATTAAAACCATATCTCCGTTTCTATCAAATGTGTCATACAGTATAATTTATTCAAATATCAGATTTTAAATACAAATTCCTCTTGATTAAGGGGAAAAAAACTTACGAAAAAATGCATGTCTTATTACAAAAAAAAATCTCGTTTCTTCAATCATGCTTTTCATTAAAGTCATATTGTCGTTCAATCATTTTTTTTTGTTTATTTCCGAGGCAATTACAAATTAGAAAAAGTAAATTAACATATATTTTCTCTTTCATTTTCTAATCGAATGTACAGTACAATAAAAACAACAAAGTTCGATCAAAATTAGTATAAATATATTTCATTATAAATTGGAGAGAGAAAAAATAGATTATATCAGATTCTCCGGAAATATATTTATGCAACCACGTTTTTTTATTGTGTTGTGTTGTAGCAATCTTTTCTTCTCCTTTCTCGGCAAAAATGAAATGTCTTATTACATGCTTAATCATCGAACAGCAGAGAAAGAGAGCGAAATAGCTGATATGCAAAAAAGAAAATACAACTGCATCTTCTTTATCTGATCTGTACACTATACATATTCGAAGTGCGTTATTTTGACTCATGTACAAACGATCAGTGTGTTATATTATTTATTTTTTGTAATAAATTCCATTTAAGTTCACTAAGTGACGTGTGAGCTGCTTTATTATTATTTTACACTTAATTAAATTACCGACAATTATCGAGTTAATTGGAATAATCGTAACATTAATCTTGGTTTATGAATAAAGAATGCTTTGTGCACAATTTACATTTATAACTATAAAATATAAGATATGCATTATATTTGTATAAACTCAATATTTCATTTTTTGTATTTAAGAGAATTTTCTGAAAGATCCTATGGTAATATTTCAATATTATCAAACATTTTAACATCAGAAAAATGATAGAATTGATAAAATTGACGTATTATTTTTATTAGTTTTACAATTTTCTAACAAAATTAGTAAAATTAAAAGAGATCATAAAAGTTGTTAAGCATTTAACAGATCATAATTTTTAATTGACAATAAATTCGTTTCATTGTCATTACAATATATAATTATTATAGAATAATTACTTTGATCATTATATGACATAGTGTTATGTACGATATTGATGTCACGATTCTTCCAATTAAATCTACAGATCTCGCTGCAGGCTTGAAAAATGCTTGGCGACTTTCAGACCGAGATCGAAAGCGGTATAAAATTTCGTTCAGGTCAATTTCCAATGATTTAGATAGAAAATAGATCGATACATCGATCGTCGATGAGATTATTTTCGCATGTCTGTATAGCGTAAAAAAATCTCGCGTGACCTTAACAAAATCGTATATCATTATATTAATATATCGTAATATATATATTATACACAATATATATATATAAAATATATTATATACTAATATATAATACCGCTTTTTCTCCCCACGCTTTCGGAAATATGCTGCTAATTATACAATTTTCCGAGTCTATAATTATCAGTGTATAAACCTGGAGAGAGTGTGTAATCTACATACTATATATATATACTTGTATAATTACTCTCTCTTTCTATCATCGAACGCTAAAGATATATAAAAAAGGAAAAACAAATCAGTGTATGCCCCATAAGACGAATTAAAAATACTGTACAAGCGTTACACACACACACACACACACACACACACACACACACATACATACATATGCCGTGGCGAATAATTTACAATCTGTTTTCTTCTTTTCCTCTTATTTGAGCGATTTCTCTTCGCGTTTAAAATAAACCGTTTGCGCTTTGTCGACGAGTCTAATAATAAGATCTCGTTTGCATGAAAAAATGCACAAATGTATAATACAATATACAGCGAATAGGATTCATGAGATTTGTTCTGAGGACTCTTCTAGAAATAGAAATTTGCATTTTTTTAAGGATAATTTAATGTAGGATATCTCTCAGTTTCTTCCCTGTTAACTTTGTCGACTTATTCTACGAACAGATAAAAGAATTTGAGTTTAAGAATATTTTTTTTTTTTAAATTAGGAGAAAAATACGGATTTCTTATAGAAGATCCATGAAGATTTTGAAATTGATTAGATATTATCATGATATGTATTTACTGTTTTTTAAAATACAAGTATGAGATGCATACAGAAGCACACGTATAATAATTTTAAATAAGTATAAAAATTTAAAATAATTTTAACTTTTTTATATTTTTATTATAAATATAAGACAAAGATACAAAGTACGATCATTTTAAATATATATAAAAAGGAAATAATTTTTTTCCTTTTTCATATTTTTGTTATCTCTTAGATATATTTTTATTCAATCACATTTCTGTTCGTAGAATTTGTAAACAAATTTATACGGGAAAACAAATATGTTTTGCAAGATACGTTATTTTTTGTTTTTCTGTTATTACATTATTCAAGTTTCTCGAAAGTAAGTGTATCTTCTAGTCCTTTAATACATCTAATATTTATGTATATATGTATATAGCTCTATTATTTATATATATTTATATATTTTCGCCTTTTAACACGAAGGAATATTCGTGTATTACTCTTAGCGTTCTCTCATATTCTTTCAAATCATATAGAATTAGAGTATGCTTTTTAAACGAATTTTTACAACAGATATATTTCTTCCTTTCTCTTCTTTTCTTCTTCTTCTTCTATTTTTTAATACAGCTAAAATATACAAAAACAATACTTTTTATTATTTCATTGAAATAAACTCCTCTGTATTTTTCATTGGCTTTTTATTTTCTCTTTGCTTGAAAATCAAAAAATTCTACAATTGCCTCTCTTTGAGGATCTTTCTTTTCTTCTCATATGTGTAATTGTGTATATTGTGTGTATATACATAGCAGATTTCTCTGCTGGTTTCTTACAATCTAAATGCCTAAATGTGAGTTGTCGATTATAAACAATTTCATAGAAAATTTATTTATGTGATTAAAATAACGCATAAGTAAATATAATCGTAATCGTTAGAACTTTGTGAGTACGAGACGATAAATGAATTTGTACAATTTATATATTATGCGTGTAATTCTAAAAAATAGTCTTACAGCTATACGGTGACAATTGTATTTACTTCCTTCTCTTTCACATCGGGTACGCTATAAAGGAATAGCAGTGTGGCAGAGTTTTTTAAACCATTTCAAAACTATCTTTCAGAGATAGTCGATCTTATTTCTTTCTTTTTCATGTAATCCGGACCATATTTTACTCGTGTGAAATCACGATCGCGTATTATATGTACATAAATAATAGCGTAACGTGATGAATATTGCATGAATTCTGAGAACCACAACTTACAACTACTGCACAAACTTGAAATAAACATGACGTTAGCTCATATAACTGTGACATGTATTTTATATATGTAGAAAAAGAGGATTTAATATACAAAAAACACGAAATTGTGTGTCTCTCTTTCTGCACTTTTTTTATAATTAAAATATCATAATGTGTGCAGATTAAGTCAGTCCTGAATTCGAACTTATATTCTTAACTTAGATCGATATCTGATTAATATATTAACAGTCTCTCTGTTTTTCTACATCTAAAAAGACCATTATTTGGAAAATAATTCATATAGATTACATTAGAGGAAGTAGCTCAGAACTATATCAGTATCAAAATAAGATAAATAATTCGAGATACAATTTAAAATAACTTTCAGTATGATAATTTTATTTCACACTAGTAGTCTTACTCGTTAAATAAAATAAATTCGTAATGTAACAATTGTCGGATATCATTTTATTTCATTATTTAAGGTTTAATCTCTGAAAATTCGTGATATAAATTTGGCTAATTTCTTTTTTAATAAACTTTATTTTTTATAGAAAATACAGAGAAAAAGTTATAATACGGAAATAAAATAAGTTATTACGTTTTGTAAAATCGATTTCCTATGTTATTTTATATATTTAGCATGTACAGTATATCCACATGATTTATGAATAATCTTCTTCATTCATAAGGCATATGCGATACAAAATATGCGAAAATTCAATATATTTTTATCTGTTCAAAGAGAAATATGATGGGAATATTTAAAGTGTTGCAGAAACTGTAGGGAGGATTTAAAAAGTGATTAAAAATGCTATGTTCATCGTCTCACAGCTATAAAAAATTAAAACTAACTGCGAAGCGGATCTTACAATCTGTCAAACCTTCTATTTCCATGTGTCAGAAAAAATAATGAAGAATTACGGGGGCTTTTGGTAATGAAAACAAGAAAATTATTTTACATAACTATATTTCAATACGAAAAATTGTAAAAATAAAATAAAATAAACGTTAATCGTATCCTATATATATGGCTTTCTTTCTTTTGTTCACTACTAGTCAGTAGCAAAAGAAATCTTGCAAATAAGATCTTACGGCACGAGCTGTAAGTTCTGGTTTAAAATTCACATTTCGTACAATATAATTGGAACTCAGAATTCGTAAATTGCAAAAAGAGAGAAGGAGAGGAGAATGTTCACACAACTATAATAAATATAGCGGAGACCGGTGCGTTCTCTACTTTTACATACTTAAGCTTACTCTGAAATAGTTTCAGTTTTTCTAGGTGTAGTGTACTGTACTGGCACAAATTGTGTTCCGTTCTGTTTTGCGTGAAACGCACTGCACAATAAATTAATTCTTGTGCACTTCACTTTGATCCGATTTCACATACGGCTACATTATTTATTTACTTTTTGATTGATTTACTTCCCTTCGGAGAATTTTTCCCTCAGACTCTTGATTTTGTGAACAAAATACGTCTCCAAAGACTCTGCACATTTGAAGAATGGCGACTCCTTAGGATTATAATAGCGACAATTGTCGAATATCTTTGTCATGTCGCCAATAAACTCGCTCAGTTTTTTATAGGATCGGTCATTTATTCTTAATTCGATAGTCTGCAAGTCTGAAACAATGAATATAATGCACATATGTAATTAAATAAATATATATAAAATCACATGTACATTTACACTAATTAAAACAAGATATATATTACATTCAGAAAACTGCTTTTATAGCAAAATGATCCGAAGAGAAATAAAATTGATAAAGAGTCATACTTACCCATTGGTTCCTTTATAACTTTATAATAATCTGGTGCTTCATTAGGATCTACTGGTTCCATAAAAGGCCATGCGCTTTTATGAGCCTTAAACAAACAAATTACATTATATTGTGTGACTAAATATTAATTTCATCGAGCTGGTTTATAAATCCTTAACCACAGAATAAAGATATATTTTTTACACTTATATGCTATAAATATTCGATTTTTTACTTATATAAATTTATATAGAAAAATATTATAGTTTTTTCTTATAGAATTATTTATATTACAATAAAAAGAAAGTATACACACCTGTATTTGTTTAATTAATTTTTTCAACAGATCGAGATCCTTCGCATTGAGGTTCTTCATATTGGCAAAGTTGACAGAAGAATTCCGTTGGCAATTCGGACAGACATACTCGTCAATATTGTCAGCCTCTGATTGAAGAATACCAACACACCGACCGTGAAACCAATCCTGACATTTATCGCAGCATATATAAAACCTTTAAGCGAAGAGAGAGAAATATGTTACAGATACTAAATACGTAATTAATTCCATTATATAATTAAATATAATTTTCTATTAATATTGCATAGTATTATATGTTAAAGAGATGTATATGAAAATCAATTATTAAAAATATAGAAATAGAAAAATTAATTTAAATATAATATTAAATATGTATAATATATATATATAATAAATATTACAATGTATAAGTGAATATATTTTTAAATTAATTTATTTATTCATAAGTTAATTCGCACACAATTTAATTATATTTTTGTGATTTTTATTTTTTTTTGCATTACAATATTAAATGTATAATTAGGCTTTTACATTTTAATGTACTTACTGAGATTCATCATAAGGCTGTTTACATAAGCAGTATAACTCCTGCGTATCTCTCGCATGTCTGCATTCTGTACAAACGAATTCCGACAGAGATTTACTCATCTCCTCTGTTATACCAACACAGTCACCATGGAACCAATTGTTACACAAGTCGCATCCCACGTAAAATCTTTAAAAAAAAATTGAGCTGTTTATAACTTTCACAAGACCATCTTACAATTGACATCGAAATTTAAAGTCTCATTTTACCGATTAAATATATTGTAATTCTAAAAACATACATAACTAAAAATATTTTGCAATGTTAGTTTATGAATTTATCAATAATATTTCATAATTAAAATAAAAGAGTTTCAAATTGCTTTTAACTAGTTAAAATGTAATATGCGATTCTCTAGAATATATAAAAATTAAACCGAGTCTTATATGGCTTTGAGATTTTTCTTGAAGATTACTTACTTGGTTTCATCATAGGGAGTTCTACACAAGCAATACAGCTTCTCTTTCTTGATACGCGTAGCGGATGTGGAACCACTAGGTGGAGTCGCGCTGTTACCTTGGGTCTTGTGTTTTTTCGGCCTGCTACTACCACTGTTTCGATTGGACGGGCTAACTTGTTGTGCTACTTGAGCATTGGCTTTTCGTTTCGCGCTGCCTACCTTTACCTCGTCCTGTTTATGCCTCTCTGCTTTCGTCCTGGTAGCGAGTTCCGTCGATAGATCCTTCTGCAATATTTATTTAGGCATTATTGAAACATGCTGATAATTACAATTCTGCAAAACTGATATAATTGAAGATTTTTAAATTACATTTTAAATCTATATTAAAAAAAACAATGATTATACTTTTTATGAAAAAGATACGGAATGTTTAACTTTATTATTTTCGAGTAATAAATTATCATCAATAAGTTCTCGATTTAAGATAACTTGAAAATAAGTTCTCTTATTTTTTAAATTATCTCTTTAACAATTGACTTCTTATTGTCGCATTAAATGTTATGAAATGAGTTTCGGACTTGGATAGTGAGCATTTCTTTTGAATTGAGAACATAGATTATATGAATAAAGTAAGATATAGAAAAGAATACAAGATTCAATTCGATAAAAATTATACATACATTTGCGACAGTGTTAGAGTCGAAATTTGAATAGTGCAGTAACAGGACTTAAAGTTATTATTATTAAAAGTTATTATTATAAAGTTATTATTATATTATATATTCACTTTGTTTGACATTAATAATAAACAAAAGAAGCAAAAATTTCTTTAGATTACTCAATCAATTAAATGACTTCCAAAATATAACATCACAAGAGTGACATCTTCTATATTATACATATTATACTAAAATTATATATACTTTATATAATTGTATATAATTGTATAATTGTATATACATATATATTATACATATTATTATTGGAACATATATCTATGCATTGTATTTACCTGTATATCAATTTGAAGCTCTTTCTCGAGTAAAGCTCTCTTCTTAAGAATATCTTTTTTAAGAAGTTCTTTATGTCGAAACAATAAAACTTGCATTCTCGAATGCATCTGTTGTTTTCTTCTCTGCTCTTGTGTATCTTTTAATTTTGCAGATCGGTTTTTAGGAGACGACTCATTATCTAATGCTTCTGATAGCTTCGTCACTCTGGAAATAATCATTTATGAATACATATATGACATATACAATTTAAAGTTTGAACACATTGATAAGATGCATCATTTTGAGATAATTTATTTGCAATATAAATTTCTCATTTGTTACCAAGAATATGTGTTATATTTATCACATATTCTTTTTTGACAAAACATATACAAGGAAGTGTATGTTTTTGCCTTAAAATTTCCCGAGTTAACTGAAAAAAGAAAGCACATTTAGTATTTTTATACATATATATACATATACATATATATATATATATATATATATATATATATATATATATATAGGATAAAACGTTTGATTGAATATTATTCAAAATAATATCCATCAGATTTATTTTTGTACAAATTTTCAAAATACTTAAAATCTTTCTTCGAAGAAAGTAGAGTGATATAAAAAAAATCAGTTTGAGTTTAAGAAAAGTATGAGAAGGCGAAATATGTATATGTATATATCTGTAACATTTTTTTATTAAATTATTTCGTAAATAAAGAACTTATAAAAAGAATATTCAATAAGGAAAAATCACGTTTATATACTATTTTAATTCTTGAATTTTTAAGGGAAATATTAAGAAAGATGAGGGAAACCTTAAAAAATAAAATTGAAAAAAGGATGTCAAGATAATGAATTGGCAAGACAGATACTGAGGATGAAAATGATATGAAAGAAAGAAAAAAAAATTACGAAATGTGAGAATGATTTTCTTTGAAATTTTTACACTCTCTAGAACAAAGAACAAATCATCAAATACAATAAAAAATAGAGGCTGATTAAGCTTAAGGAGTGTCATTATATTTTAAAATTTCATTATACATGTGTATATGATTTAAATTGAATTTGATACCAAAACCGATCCAGATATTAATGAGACAGGATTAAACACGAAAATAAAACTATGTCATGCTCTCTATATTTAAAAAAAAAAACATTATATGTATTTAATAAAAAAAATAAATGTTTTCATCATAAATAATTATGTTTGTATGTACGTCACAAATGTATTTCAAATACAATTAAATTTTAGCCCAATGTTCTTTTTATACACGTTATGATATTAATTTTCACTTTTCATAAAAAAATTTTACATACACGCAAATTGACATTACATGCTTTATACGATTCTCGTGATATTGTTTATTTGTATGAGTGTATGTGTTTGTATGTGTGCAAAGAACATTGGATTCAAATTTGATTATAACTTTAAAGATCCTTTTAAATATTTATTAAGTAAAATAGACATCTTTTAAAAAGAACATACATTTATAAAAAAAAACTTTTTATTTTTCAAATTCAAATAAAGAGCATGATGAAAACTTTTATTTTCGTATTTCGATATTGTGCGCATGCACACATACACACATATATATGCACATATACAAATATTACAAAAGTTACAAGTTAAAAATAAAAATAAAAAAATTATCAAATTTAAAAATGTTAGGTAAAGCAAAGCGACTAGACCCAAAACAAAATAGCGAAATTAATAATATAGTATAATATAATAGTACAACTTCGCTTATTTAAGAAATAGGAAAAAACGAAAAAAGATAAAAGAACAGAATAGAAAAAAGAAAACAGAATAGCATGTGATATACTAATAACAATAATGAACAATGATAAATATTTGAAATTATATATATATGTATCTTATATATACAAATGCTGGACAAATATGCGACAAAAAATCTTTAAAAAAATTTTTTCTTTAATGCTTGATTTTTCAGATTTATATATATATAATATATATATATATATAATTAACAAATTAGTTTCAATAGCAATACGAGTCGAGCGTCGATGTTATGACACATTTATTTATTTATTATACAATAAAAGGTATCTTCGATGGCTGGAAGCATCGTCAAGATAATGAGATACCGAGACATTTAGTATTATTTTGGCATCCTATCTCATCGATTCAGATATGTAACACCTTTGTTATATTTTTACCACATCATCACATTTGCACTGAAGATGACCCAAAAATAAGGTCGAAATGTTCGCTATTCCTTCTTTTTATTTTTATTTGTTTCATGCCTTTTATTGTATAATAAAAAAATAAATGTGTCATAATATCGATGCTCGACTCGTATTGCTATTGAAACTAATTTGTTAATTTTATATTTCGAGTCTTATACCTTTATTATTTGTAATATATATAATTATCATTATATAATACAACATGTTATGTTATATAATACAAATTTTTATATTGTCATTTGTCATTTTTATATTGTCAAATGAGTTTAAACTACATTGGTAGAAACAGGCATGAATATGATTAAATTCCAATCCGAGATATTACATCCTTAATAATTGAATATTCTTATTAATATATAATTTTTAATATAATTTTTAAAGTATTCAAAAAATATTTTAATAATTACAACAAAATATGAAATTATATATTAATATATATTGTAAGAAAAATATATGAAAGAATGATGTAATTCTCGATATACTGAATGATACTGAAGATACCAACACGAAGTTGCACTACTGTGTTATACCACATTAATATTCCATATGTTTATATGGCTTACTTTGGGGTCGCATCGCGAGTTTCCTGTTTCAGTGCCGGTCTCTTTCTGGGTGTTTCTACCCAATCTTTGTCATCTTTGTCATCGCCGCCGCTAGACGATGATTGCATGATTGTCGGCGTCGTCGTTGTCGCTGACACTGGAATGTTCGACGAGGGTGCCGGCCGTTTACGCGATGGCGGACGCGGCGTTGTTACTGCGGACGAATTGTGATGAGTCTGATTATTTGTCACGGAGTTCTCCACGCCACCTTTCATTTGCTTCTCCTGGTAACGTTGCAATTGCAATAATTTTTCTTCTATCTCCGGATTGAGGTTCTCTTGTTTCAAGGCATTTTTAATCGCTACAATTATGAAAATATGTATAAATGTGTGTGAATGCATCTAAGCCTATTTAATAAATATTGCTTATACAAAGAAAATTTGCAAAAATCTTTTTTTATAAGAAAAGAAATATATAAAAATATAAGAAAGTTTATTGTTTATGAAAGAAAATTCTGTATCAAGATATATTTTTCTTACGTATCTTTAAAAAATTTTTTTCTAGATAACATAAACCTATATTATTGATATATATATAATTTTCTTTTAAGATCTTGTTATATAAGTAATATTTTTTCAAAGATATTTTGTATACAGAAATTTACTTGGATATTTATGAAATATTTGTAAGGAAATTATATTTGATTGAAAGATATTGCAAAACATATACTTTGTACATGTTTTGTATGTTTTTTATATTTTCTTTAATTGTTTATATACTAACTTTGTTGAATGTAGTCTGGTGTCAATATGAATTTATTTGATGAATCACTTCCTTCTTTTAAGGATTGTGAAGGTTGCTGCCCATTTGCTATATTCGCTTTTTGTGCATCATCCTCTGTTGCGTTCGTCACACGTCCTACTTGTTGAACAACCACTTTCGGTTTATCCGATTTTGGTGTTACCGCTTGTGGAAATTCTGGAATGGTTTCGGTAGCTCCTTGTGGTTCTATTGAAAAAGATGTATATACTAATAGTTTTTTTGTCAAATTCATTATATATATATACACACATATATATAATGAATTTGACAAAACAATTATTACTAAATATTTATTAATATTATATAAATATCAATACACTCATATATATCTATTCAATCGTCATTGTATATTTATTAAATAATAACAAGATATTAAAAAATTGTGTACCAGTAGCAGGTGGTGGGGAAACTATAGGTTGCTGTTTCGGAGTCGACGCCATAGGGGTACTTGCCGTCGACGAAACCTGCGAAGTCTGCTGTTGCTGCTGCTGCTGGTTATTGGAAGGCTGAACTGGTTGAACAGCCAAGTAAATCTTTGTAGGTCCTAAGACACCTTGCTTGCCAGTTGCTGCTTGCGCTGAAAGCGATATAAAATTTTTAATTCGATATCTTTGGCGAAAATTCGCCAATAGATTGTGTTTTTTTTAAACATTTTTAGATGCTAACCTTTGAGAAGTTGCTGTTTTACTTGCTGTTGCACCATGTTTAATTGCTGCGGTGTAAAATCTGCACTTTGTAAACCCTGTAATACGATACGCGGGCCTTCGGTTGTTTGAATCACCTGCGCCGTCACACATTTAATCACTGTACCGGGCGGTTGTCCTGCCAGCAAGGAAGCCTCAATGCTTCCTGGAGCTGGAACTGTGGCAGAACTCTGAGTGGTCGTCACCGATGCAGTAGAAGTAGCAGTGGTGGTGGTTATCGGGTTCGCATTTGTACTGGCGGCGGATTGCGCCGTAACTGTCGAAGACTGCGTGACTAAAAAAGAAAAATTCGTATCGTCAGTACATATGTTATTTAAATTAATACAGTACTATTACAAGAATAATATTATTATAATTATCTCGAGAAATATGTATATAATTAATAAAATATATAATCTGTAGATTCATGTGCATCAAAACTGTTTTGACCAACCCAAAATTATTTTATAGACAACTTTGCTTAATTGATTAATTTTAATAGATTAATTAATGATTGAATAAGTCGCCAATTAAGTTAATTTGCTCAAAATGTCCTTTAATCTACAGAATAAAAATAATTCTAAAATTATTAACCTTGCTGTTGCTTATTAGCAGGTACGGTACTTTTAACGATTATACCGCTATTTGTCGAATTCAGATGTACAATTGATTGTCCAGTAGGTGTACTACGTATTACCACTTGATGGCCCCCGAGTGTTGTCAATTGGGCTTTACCTGTTGCCACCAATTGTTGGGCAAAGTTTGCGTTCGTAACCACTATTTGATTGCCACTTATAACTTGTCCACCGGAAGATATTACCTAGATATAATATTTATACAACATGTATAATATAAATACGAATAATATAAATAAATGTAAGTAAATAATATAATAATGCAAATGTAATAAAATATAAGCAAATAATAAAATAAATGTAATTGTATTATAGTTAATTTTAGAATGCAAAAGAATCTCCGAAATATCATGTTTATTTTTTTCAATATTTTCGATCAAATCTTCTTCATTTTCCAAGCAATTTCTAGAAAAATCTTAATCTTTCTTTTTCAGCGATATTTGATTTAAATTTATTGATATTTATTTTTCTTGTGAATTTTCTTTTTCATTAGAATATCATACATTCAAATTTATGTTTAATTTATATCAATCAAGAGAGCCATCGAAAACACCGCGCGATTACCTGCGCGGTCTGTCCTGTATTGGCGACCACAATAGCATTTTTCGTCGGTGTGGTAGGAGTCAAAGTCGCAGATTTTACGCGTTGGACAGCTTGCACAACTTGCTGCAGTGATTGTTGCGTCGTCGAATTCACTGTTGCTTTTGTAGTTGGACTGGTTTTAGTCGTAGAAGTTTCGGAAATTGCCACTTTGGCAGAACTAACTGCAGTTTTTGTCTGAGAGAGAAAGATAGAAATATATATTACTTATAGTTTTCATTACATATACATTAATCTATTATATCGCAATTAAATTATATGTATTGTACTTATGTTATGTCTCATTTTTTTAAGTTTTTACTTTATGAAGCAGAATGAAGAGAACATTAAACAGTATTCTTTCAAGTGAATTACCTGGGGAGTGCTTGTAGGCATTGTAGAGTTTGATTGTGCAGACGGGCTGCTCACCGTTTGGCTCACATTTAGTACATGTAATTTCCCATCAGGCATCTGGATCAATTGTTGACCAGGCAATAAACCACGCACTTGTAACTTTCCGTCTGGCCCTCTAAGAATTTGCACTTTCTGTTGTACTTGTACAGGCGAATTGGTACCTAGAAAGATGCGATGGAAGGACATATTGGATTATATGTATGAAGATAGATTGGAAATGGAAAAATAAGATAGATAAGCTTACCTGCTTGCGTTATTTTAATTAGAGATGACTGATTCAATGTTTGGGCTTGCGGTGTTTTCGGTAAAATACTAGTAGAACCAGTCACTACCTTAGTAGTTCCATCAGCTGCTGAAATAAGACAATAGAGCAGCTCGTATAATCTTGTCATTATAATTCATATAGCATGCTTGAAAATGAAAGTAAATAACTTACATTTTGTCATGTAAATTCGTCGGGTACCGATAAAAGTTTTGTTCTGAGTAGGAGTTGTTAGAAGAGAAGTCAATTGCGACTTTGTGCTGTTCGGATTTGCTGGAATCGCAACTTTTGAAACTAATTTAACTGTACCATCTACAAATACAAAATTGATCATTTTAAAGATTTATTTTAATTGTCATTGTAATTTTAATATCGGTGCTATCTTAATTAATATTTTGTTCCACGCTTTTACTTCAAGTTATTCATCCTATGAAAAATCAAGCTTGACAAATAAGATTAAATAGCAAAATCAAAAACATCATTGTTATCTATAAATCTATTCGAATTCTCGATTCATTATATGCAATTTTCTATAATTGACTTACCGTGAGAGGAATTAGCTGTGACTTTGACAAGTTGAGTAGCTGGTGATGTCGAGTTCGCCGGTTGATTCTTGAGGGTCTCTAGGGCACGTTTTTGTTGATGAGCCGCCCGTTGCATACGTAATTGTTGTTCCATCTTTTCTTTGATCTCTTCCGGCGTCGCTTTGCCGCTCACCAATTGGTCACCGGACAGGCCGGTCGTACCACCGGAAGCAGCGGCACCGGCGGTTCTATTACCACCGCTGACGACCACTGATTGTGGCGCTCCCGAGCGACTCCTAGTAATAATCTGGGCATTAGCCTTCTCTAACCTGGAGACAGGACAGACACACCAAGCGGAGGGTTAGTTCCCGATGAAAAAGAGAAAGCAAGCGAAGGGTTAAAGCGGTCAGCATTTAAGACGAAACGATGTCATCGATGAATTCGGAAGCAAAACATAGAAATAATACATTTCACACAAATTCATTGTTCATAAAGGAGGCAAAATTTTCAACTTTTGTAGATTTATTTATAATAATAAAGTTAGAAAAGTAATTAGAAGATCACATTGTTAGGAAAGATTTATATATACTAATTTATATATCATCTGATTTTTCTTATTATCTCTTTTTTAATAAAAGATTATTAATAAACATTTACAAAATTTAATAAAGCATATACAATATTTTTCCTACTGTGACTTTGGTTATCATTTCAAAATAATCCTATTAATCCTAAGTTTTATTTTCATTCGTTTTTATTTTTTAGATTATTTTATTTTTAGAAATGTATTAATAAAACATATATAAGAATCATTATTATTTAATATTAATTGAACTAGAATTCGAGTAGATCTAATAAAATTGGTCAATGGTGTAGCAACCACATGATATGCGAATATATATATATATATATATACCACGCGAATATATATATTAGAAAAAGAATACCTCACAAATATCTACGACGCGAAATAACATGCAAATACTTTAATAGTCATTAGATACCTGCAGCATATCTTAATTGCTATATACCTGTCACCGTATTGTTTGATCTCCCACAATTCCAACTTGTCCTCGTCGACCCATTCTTCGGTGACTTGTGGCTCGGTACTCTGCGGAGATTCTGGACGCTTTCGTTTTCTCAGACCAATTCTTATAGACGTAACCTCTGTATAGAAAATGAATATAGCATATTAAATGATATAGATAACGATTTTAAAAGATTACAATTTATCACTCTCATAATTTTAAAGAAATATCAATAAACTAATATAAATTTTTTATTTATTCAGTAAATTATCTCTCATATTAATTTATCACAAACCTCTGACTTGCTTTGGAAGCTCGAGCGGTATTACGACTTTCCTACGCAGATATTGCGTCCTGTCGAGAAACTGTCCGACATGTCGATGCTTCAATATTTCTAGCGACATAATCTCCGTGTCGGTAGTGATCTGATTCTTGCCATCGGTAGACAAAGGCTTAGCTGCCATGTCATCCCACCTAAGACACGCCCAGAGTATCCTCAGTTGAATCGCGGCAGCGGCCAGCGATTTTAGACCGACCGTTCTGTATAACCAGCAAGTCTTGAACAAAGGTCTGGGGCATGAGTACGGCCACACCGACATATTCGCCTTGGCCTGATGATGAAATCCTTGCACGGGCGTTTTACCGCCGACGCGGGACATTTTTCTTAACTCGTGTTGAGGCAGCACCAGTATACTACGATGCTTGTTCCTCGTGCAAAAAGTTGAACAGAGCGGATACTTGACAGGGGTGCGTTTTTTCCTACGATCGGCCAAAGAGATTGCTACCTTCTTCAGATATATCTTGCCCTTCGTTGACGTCGCCGTATAAATTCGTTCGCTGCCATCAGCATGCAGTTCCTTGGTAATCGCGCTCCGTTGCACCGTTCTTCCTCTACGATTCACAATCATTACCGTTTTTGTACTATTCTTATCCGTCGTTGTAGTAACTTCCGATGAAACGGTCGTGGAATTACGATTCACAGTAGAGTGTTCCTGCATCGCACCATCCGAGCTCTTTGTCACTGTTTGTCGAGTCGTCGTTATCGTCGTGGTGGTCGTAACGATATTGCTCGTCGTGACGGTTATCTCCCCCTTGTCGTTTTCGAGTTTAATCTTCTTCAAAGGTAATGAGGGTGAAACGGCGTCTTTCGTCGCTGATTCTTCGTTGTAATGAGTCGCTGATGCCACTGCCGATTCCAAATCTCGTCTGATCGCATCCTTTGTTTCGTCCGAGGGTTCCGTTTTTACACTGATGATTTGTGACAAGGATGAAGAAAGAGATGACTGCTGATTGTTGCTGAGTGCGTTTGTTTTACGTGCTAGCGTAATCAACTCGCGCTTCAGACGCATCCTTTGCATGCATATAGGCGAGTAACAAGTATCGGAGATTTGCACGGCGATAACTTGCGCAGTATTGTTCTTGCTACCAGTATTATTCATGTTGCAATAGGGCGAATAACACCCGACGTTCTTATAAAGCTTGACCATATTCGCATATTGTGCACGCATCTGTTGGACACGTTTGTTGATTGCCGTCAGCATTTCCTTTGTGGATGCAGAAATAGTTGTTGTTGCTGCTGTTTTGTTTGTTTGCTGCTGTTTACCGATGGACGATGGACAATCTCCGCCACCGCCAACAACACCATTGCCATCCGTTTCGTTCTCCTCGTGATTTTCTATATCAACTTCCGAAGAATCACCGCCACCCCCGCCCTTCTGATTTGGCGTTTTGTTTACTTCTTTCGTTTTCTCCTGTAAAAAATATTTCGATATTTATAAGCTGTAAAGATAATGACGTTAAAATATCGATACTTTTGCTGTTAATAGAATGATGATTCTATTCTAAAATATAATAAACGTCAATGCATGATAAAAATGATAAAAGATCATATATTAATTAACAAAGAAATATACTTACAGATTGCTGCAATCTCCTCTCTTCCAAAACCTTCAAATGTGTTCTACGTGCCAAGAAATCGTCAATCCTTGTCTTTTTTGCAATTTTTGGATAAAGCAATCTTCCAGGACTCGTTAGCGCTTTCATGATGTCAACTTCTTCAAACTCAGTGACTGGAGTAAAAACCTTTTCAATTTTCATGCCAGCTAAAACTAAAAATTTTCTATTATTAATATTTTTTACGAACAAAATGCAAGTTTAAAATATTATTTACAGTATTATTGTTATACTATGTTACATTAATTGTATTCTCTTTTAATTCAATTTAAATCATTTATTAAATTAGCTACTTACATGATAGATTCATCTTTGTTTCTTGTTTGACTGACTGAGATTCGGACTTTGTTAAAGAGGAATCAACACCATTCGTCGTAGGTTCCTTTTTTACACTTTCCGAGTTGTACTCTTGTTTAATCGCATCATTTCCTGTATCTTCCTCTTTAATTTCTTGTTTTACCGTGATGCCGTTCTCCGTTTTGCTTGGACAGTACTCCTTAATAAGAAATTCATAAGTAGGCGGATCGAGAGCGAGAATTTTTAAACCGCCTTGATCTCTAATTTGCACCATGATCTTCTGCGGACCGGCATGCAGACCCAACTTTGTCATCTCCGAGAATCTATAACGACGACTAGCTGATACCCAGAGCCAGCCGCCCTGACCATGTAACCGATACTCCTCGCCTTTTTGCTTCCACACTTGATGTTTCATGCCAAGAGTGTATTTCACAAAGTTAAAGAGCCGATTACGCTCTTCCTCATCTTCCTTCTCTTTCTTCTCCTTCTTATCTTGTCGCTTTTTTTCCTCGCGTTCGAGCGCAGTCACTCGTTGCAGTTTTACATGACCAAGTTGATCATGCCATACACTCGCAAACACAACGGACTTGATGCACGCTTGCAAAACGATGAGAGTACGTGCAAAGTCGCGTGGATTCACGCACGCGCTTACTGCCGCAGTCCATGGTTTGCGTAGCAATGGCCAATTTGTGTGCATGAACGGCGCTTGAATGTTGCTCTCGAGCTGCAAGATTGTTTGACGTAACGTGCTGACTAATAAAGCACGAGTGCCTGTTAAACTGCCCACCCATTTAAATTCCGAAACCTGGGTAAGTGAGAATTTGTGCGACAAGTGACGTTTCTTGTCACGTTCCTCATTCCTTTGCATTTTATTCAACGCAGTAGGATTGTTGCTATACTGATTGACATATGATTTAAAATTGTTGTCCATGCCTAGTTTGAATAAATGAGTGCCAGATGCGATTTGATGTGCTTTCTGACGCGTTAGTCTAGTACCATCGCCCTCAGAGTCTTTCAAACTCTTGTCCAGTTTCTCGAGTTCTTCTTTTGATAATGGTGCCATACTGCGTCTTTTCAAGTCGTCCATATTAAAAGTTCGTGGCTGTAACGATCCAGTTTTTGATCTCGTCACGATAGTGTGTTTCTTGCCTGGAAAAAAAAAAGATTATTATTGTAAATATATATATATATATATATATATATATATATATATATATATATATATATATGTTATTATATACATACAGCAAATTTACATAATAAGACAAAATACCAGAAATATTTTTCAAATTGAAATATTTTTTGTTTTGTATAAAATAATTCTTATTATAAAAAAAAAAGACCAACTTTTATTTAATGCATATATCGACAACGCTATTTTGTAGTTTTACAATAAATTTTACCGTCTTTTCCAATCTTTTCTTCTCCTTCTAAAGCTTCTTCATCAACATCCTCGGATGATGATGTAGAAGTGCTAGTTTTCGCAGTAACTTTATCCGTATTTGTAGATGACGATGCATCGGCGTCGACTTCGACAGTTTCACCGACCACTTCAGGTACTTGGGTGACTGATTCTTCACCGGATACCTTAGTCTCACTCTGATCTGTCACAATTGCCATACGCTCCTCGAGAGAATCAGTACCTTCGTGCATCCTCCGTATCATTTCTTCCGCCTCTTGTCTCTGTTTTTCCTTTTTTTCCTCCTCTTCTTTTTCCTGTTTCTCTTGTCGTTCTTTTTGTAGCTTTTGTATAAGACCTAAAAAATATTTCAACCAAAATAAATTGATGATTATTTCCACATGTATTTAATATATTTAAAAAAATATATAAATATTCTATATTTTACTATATTATAATATCCAGTTTTAATTATGTAATAAAAACAAGACAAGATGTAAACTGTTATTCCTAGTGCTCAATGTTGACAAGAAAGATTTGAAAGATAACGTTAATTGGAAAGATTGTTTTTACCGTTTTCTATTTCTAGGTACGACTTCTTGTTTCCTTTAAATTGATTAGTAATAGTTTCTGTGAGTTCCATTTGGCGAACTATCTCGTCCTTATAATCTGACAATTCGCGGCAAAGTGCTACTTCCATTTCATTCGGATCTAACACAAGCATCAACTCCTCCAATTGTAATGGTGTACTATAATACCATACTTCACCATCTTCACTCTCACTAAAAAATAAAACCGCACAATAATAAGAAATTTTTTACAATTCTCTGATACATACACATATATATATATATATATATATATATATATATATATATATATATATATGTTTAGAAGTTTATCAAGTTTTATCCTGCCTTACATATCTTTTGCCTCTCTAAAAATTTATAATTTATCAAAACTAAAATCCCATAAAAAATATATATAATTATAAATAATTTATATACAAAATGTAAAATTATAAATTGTGCTTAAATATAAAGTTTCTGACTGTATCTGTATATATGTTAATGCGATATGAGAGTAATGGATAATTATCCTATCTTAAAATTTTATAAAATTTTAATTAATTTAGATATGATTTATAATATTGGAACTTTATCTTACACAAAAACTCTTCTCGCTAGGAACCAATACTTTCTGCCGTATCTATCGAATCCTAAGTGCTCTTGTCTGCACAATGATCCATTTTTCTCGACGTCGGGAATACAATCCACGACACCCATTACTTTGTTCGCTTTACATGTGCTACACTGCCAATCATCAGTAGGAACATCGACCAATGGCGGTTCCACGCATTCCAAGTGAAACACAGCCGGGCACGTCTCACAACATAACAAATCTCCCAGTCGATGACATACTCTGCAGTGATCATCGTAATGCATACTCCCTAAAAAACATAGATATTATCCATTTTAGCTTTCAATAAAATTTCAATTTCCTTAATTTTAAGATTTGAAAATAAAAGAATAAATAGTTTGAATACACGAAACAAATTTTTATAAAATATTTATAAAGATAAAAAAATACTTTAAAATTCCAAAATTTCTATCAAATATAGAGGCTAAATTGTTTGGAAGCAACAGTTTTTTGAAAATTGTTAACAGTGTTCAAATTATATCAGATTGATATATAAAATAAAATTGCACCTTACTGAATATGTACCATTTTGAACATAAAGAATAGCCAGCATTAAGTTTATGTTTAGGCTAATTTAATCTTGACTAAAAAGTATTATTACAAGAAGGATAACAAGTAGACTGCATCAGCATGGACAAGGTACATTTTCTTCCTGCTGATTTCAAATATAATTATGCCTCTATAGGAATCATGGATAAAAATAATACATTATATGAATTCCACTTTACCTTCATGTAACAAATCCTCCCTCACAGGATTAGTAATTAAAAACTGATCTGTTAAAAACTGTAGGACCTTGATTCTATCCTCGATGGCAGTAAAAGGATATTCAGTTGTGGCTAATATTTGTAAAATATTCTGATCAAAACTCTTGTCACTTTCTACATATGAACGTAGCACCTCTGGCCACGTCATAGAGTCCACAAAGTATAGGCTAACATTCACTGAATCCTTCTGATCCAATGGACCAAAGTGAGTTTGCTGCGAGTCCTCCTCGCGCAGTAGTGCCTTAATCAGCATGATGTGAATCTCGGCCAGCAAGTTGGTCTGATCCTCGCAAATGAGAGCTGCGCAAAAGTCTTCGAATCTAAAGGAGGACAAGCGTACCAAGGTACGAAAGTGCCTAAGCACTTCGTAGATGGACAGCGATGGCATGACCAGTTCTTTAGGAACTAGCAAATCGTCTGAGGTCTTTGGTAATACCAACGACGGCAAATCTCTGTTCTGCAGCCACAATGGATCCGGACTCGGCGGTCGCTGCTGACTGAGCAGTGTCTTTCTGGGTGTACCACTGGTAGTGCTATAACTGGACAGGGAAAAGTCGCTATCGCTCGAGGGATCGGGTTCCTCTATACTTTCGGAGGAATCCACGTCGCTCGGCAGTGGATCTTCCTCGGGCTCGCTCTTCTCGCTGGACTCATCGCCAAAATCCGACCCATAGTGATATTCAGAGTCGTGATAATCCACGTTGGGATTGTAACCGCGACGCTGATAGGCACCACCTGCAGATCCGGAGTGGCCGCCCTTGCGAGAATGCCTGTCACGCGAGCCACGCGACCTACGCTGATTCCTCGTGTTGCGCTTACTGCTCTCCTCGCTCTCGACCGATGGCGATGTCGGCCGGGACGCCGTCGGCGTGCTCGGCTGCGAACTCGGCGTCTCGGCGCCACCGCTCGGTGTCCCCGTTGCCGTTCTGTTTTGCAAGTACTTGGGCTTTTTCATCAGATGATACTGGAACTTCTTCGGTCGCTCCATCACCACGGACTTGGGCGGGCGCCCCCGCCTCTTCGAGCCCCTGCCCGTCATTATTACTGTTCGTCGCCGTGGTCCTCGTCACCCCCTCGGTCCCTGTCGTTAATGCCGGCACCGGCACTATCAATTTCGGAACACGGGGGGAGCCTATAAAATGGGGGGACAGTTGGTACCTGCCTGTCTCGCCTCGCCTGCCTTCCCTGTCTGCCTTTTCCTTCGCCACTCTTTTCACGTCTCTCCTCACCTCTTTGCGTCCCGCCTCGTCTCTCCTCGCCTCGCCTCGCCTCCTCACTCAGCACGTGGCGCGCGTGCTCGCACGCTTGTAAACAAACACAAGTGACATCGCCGCGGCAACGAACTGGATCCATCCATGATGTCCGATGCACTCTGATCTTTGCGCCATTTCTCACGGCCCACGGTCGGTTCCGCGCGGTCACGTGACCAAACACAATCCGCCGCGGCGCGACTCGAACCAATATCCTCGCGTCGCGACGATTCACCGTCCCGTTCGCTCGTCCCTATCCTTTCACGTTCCACCGCACCGCGTAGACAATCGTGAAAAAAACCACTCGCCAAAATTCGATAGCGAGATCGGCCAAGTGACGCGAACTACGCGAGAAGAAGGGGTCTCTGGCTGCGCCAGCGGCGGACGGAACTGTCGTTGAATGGCGGAGAGAGCGGCGCTGTGATTGGCTCATCGGTGCGCCGCCATGTCGGCTGCACTGCAGCCAGGCACAACGTAAAAGGCCGATCGAACGGCCGTCGTGGCGAGGCTCTCGCGGTCGACGTCCACCCGACGATCGTCCGCGATGGCTTCAGAGTCGCCGAAGCGACGAGTCTCGCGGAATAAGCGCTATCGCTCGGTTCGACCGAGACGCTCGCGTGCTCCAATCGCCTTCACCGTAACTTCCTGTCGTCCCTGCTGTCAGATCGACGTTCCGCGATAGGTGGCGACACGCGCGCGTTCGAAATAAAAGAGAAAAACGCAAATTCTAACCGCAATTTATCAAGCACTCGAGTATCGCGGAGGACGCGCTCGACGAGGGAATCCTCGGATGTCTCGGGGCTTCGATCGAGTGCCAGCGAGCGAACGTGCGACACTTCCGCTTCTCACGGCTTTCCTCGTACCGTCCTTCGTGTATGCGCACCCGGCCGTTACCCGCGAGCCATAGACGTGAAGTCTGATCTTGATGCTTGACAGAGGACGCCACTGACCCGACCGCCATTTTAACTCCTCTCGATCGATAACGTTACACGATTATTACTGCGCGAAAGTTTTTATTTTTCGCGATGCACAATCTCGATAATTGTGTAAATTAGGGTGCTTCTCTTTTTATTTTGTTTAAACAAATTTTGAAAGTTTCTCACGCTATTTGTCTTCGAAATCTTCGTGCACGCGTTTATTCAGTTCGATGAATCGAAGGAAAAAAAGAAAACTATAGGAGAGAATTAAAGATATATTACGCGGTCTCTCTTATATTCGGAGAATCCTCGATCTCGATTTTAAAAGAGATTATTCGATTTTAAACAACGAAAGAGTAGTCAAGATTATTCTTACCGATAGATCGATGGCGCCCGAGCGCCATCTGGCGGCGCGCGGCTCAACCGCGTAACGTCACCTGCCATATGTGCCGCGCACGAGACACGAGAAAAACGGCGTAGAGAGTGCGCGAGTGCGAGCGAGGGGGGAGCAAGTGAGAGATCATGGTGGACGAGACGCAAGATCCGATGCCGATTTTCCAAGTGCAAGTGCGAGTGGGAGAAAATCATATCAACCGAGAGCCGAACTGCCACTTGAAAGTTATGTACTCGATGTACCCGTTGACGAAGTTACCGCCGATACCGCCGCCGGATGTCATGTACAAGATGAGGAATATTCACGAGGAGCCCTTTCCAGGTGACGTCCTCGAATTCCTCAACATCGGGAGGAGTGTGATGGACGAGAGGGACAACGTCGGGCAGGAGTTTTTTCGTCTTTTGAAGGTTTCCGTTTTGTTCCTACGTCGGGCGGCATCGTGAACGCAGTAACCCCTCGTCCGCGCGTCCTCGCTCGCCTTCGGAGCGCGCGGACACGCGCGGAAAATCGCGGCCGGCAACGATCGTGCGGACGAGCGCGCGACATGATGACTCCTCCCGAAAATTTCCGCGAGCACTGATCCGCGATCGACCAGGAGCGGAGCGGAGGAGCGACGTGCTGCGGTTCCTCTCCGTCTCTCTCTCTCTCTGTCTCTTTCCTTCTGTCTGTCCTGGGGCTTGATCGATGTTCCTCCTGCCTCTCGCTGGGATTTTTTTTCCTCGAGTGTCTCGCGCGAACGAATACGAAAATTGGAGAAAAAGCACGCCGATCAAAAGTCACACGAGAACGAGCCGTGTGGATCTCGAGGGGCTGGGAACTATTTGACTCGCGCGCGAAAGAGAGACGCGCGACTCCGATCGTTGACTGCGACTGTCAAAAGCGGAAAAGTTCTGAGCAAAATTCCGAGTTGCCGTTAGAAACGAGGGGGATTCGTTCGCCGAGATGTTATAACCTTATATTGTTACAATTAATATTGAACTTGGATGACTGCATTTTGATACCTTTGATTGATATAAAAAATAGCACATGAGCTGATTTGCCAAAGTATATGAATTACAATAATTTATATTCACTGCTCACTCATTTAATGATCCAAGTCTTTGCAATGATACATTTGTATAGAATAGTTTTTAATGTACTTAGTACATATAATATTGAATTGAATGAAATGTACTCTGGATTAAAGTTTATGCATTTTTCCTATTCTAGACTTGAATGATTAGTACATTAATGTTATATAACATCATATTACATAGCGTATTTTCATTATATTATGTCTGAATTGATAATGAAAAAAATTATTTTAGTTAAAACTATATTTGATTTTGATATTCATTAGTTGCAGATATCTATCTATCTTCAAATTTACCCATAATATTTAATATACAATGTTCCTGCATTATATTTTTCTCATTAATATTTTTTTATTGTACAATATATTTCAAAGTTCAATGATTCCTGTTTATTATTAATTAGACGCAAAAGGATATCACATCAAACTATCGAGATTTGGAGACTAGACAAAATAGAGTTCTTCATCAATTGGCAGAACTCAAGAAACAAGTCTCTACATTATGCCAATTTTTGAAACAATCAAATGGAATACCTAAATTAAATGAAAATACTACAGTAAAAGCTACAACAGATTGTGTGTCACCTCAGGTACAAGAACTGTCCGTCTTTTAAAAGCATTTGGTTAATGTATCAGTTATTACATCATCAATGCTAAAATTGAATTTCTAAATTTATTACTGCATATAACAATACATTTAAAATAAAAGATTATTAAATAATTTTCATAACATTATTTGCAGGAACCAGTTAGACACATTAAGATGATAGTGCATGCAGATCCAGATTATCTACCATATTCAGTACTCGCTTTGCAGAAGCTTTGGAATGATGTTGATATTAGAGTGACATCATATAAACATTCTTCTATTACAGCATCAACACAATTTACAGTTCCCTTTCAAAAATCTATTAATTCTACTGCAAAAACCATTATACATTTAACATTGATATGGAAACAAAGTAAGTTAAAATTAATTGTTTTTGCCAATATTAAAAAAATATACCCTTTTTTACAAAAATGATAAATGATCTATTTGTTATCGAATATCTCAAGATGTTAAAATTTCAGGAAAATCTTGAATTTTTCTTTGCAATTAATTTTTTAATCACTCTTATTATCCATTAAATACTAGTAATAGGATTTCTTCTTACTTATTTGAATATTTTGTATTATTGAATATTTTTCTTTCTTCTTTTTTCCAGCTAAAGATTTGGAAGTTATTATTGTGGATGGATGTAACATAATTGGTGAAAGTAATTTCCTCAGATATTTGAGCAGGCTAGTGGATACACATAACTATGAAAAGATACATACGCAGCCACACTTATTAGATACAGTACTCGACTGGTGTTATAAAACATATGAACATCTTAAAACGGGAGGTACATACAAAGAAGTGGACTTTAATACTGTAACCCGTCATTTCGAGAAATGGGCCAATCAGCCTGAACCTAACATTGCGGACTTTGCGTTATGGTCTTTATTTAAACGGTTTCCTCCAGAAAGAAAACCAAAGATACTTGATCGGTGGTATGACTCATGTGAAAAGGCTTTCATAGATAAAGTTTATGCATGAATGCACAAATTAAATACTTAATAAATAAGTGAGAATAGAATATTACAAATACATCAGAACAGAAACAATATACATATTATGTTACATTGGTAAAAATTTTGATATCTTGAACAAGAATTCTGAATAAATTATTTTTTACATAAAACTAAGGAAATCTTTATATCCTATATATATCCATTTAATAGATATTCTGTATTGTGCTTTGCAACATATATTAAAAAAATTAATTTAAAAAAAATTACTAAATAAAATTATATATGTAAAATTATATATAAAAACTTGTTTTAAAATATATCAATTTCTACAATTATCTCAGAATGTATATAATTAAAGAAATTAGTAATAGTGATTCAATATAAGTAACAATAAATCAGTCTTGTCATTATTGAGTTCTTCCAAAAACGGCATAAATTTTTATTAAAAAGATTAACAAGTTTCTAAAAATGTTCTATATGGTTTAGACATTATAATAGGATTTTTATACTTTTATTTTATTACAAATGCGCGCAAATGGAAGTATATAAATAATATTAAATTTGCACTAACATGTTCGCTGGCAGTATCGCGGAAACACTATAAGCATTTCCAGAAATACATACATTATGGAAAAAAGATTCCCTGCATTACGTAATGTTTGTAAAAATTTTTTTTAAAAAAGTGATAAAATTATCTCTAAATATATATAGCGAGTAAACGAATGATTTTATCGAATATGAATCGATAATAATCTTACTTGTAATTACTAATTAGATTAGGCTTCTCTTTGTCCTGTCTCATCCAAGTGTTATTATATTGTTCGCAGTTATATATAATAAGTGCGACATTATGCAATTGTAATTATCCGGCTTTGGATGTACGTTAATAAAATGAGAATGTTTAAGAAGATATGTGAATATTATTATATAGCTAGAATATATATATGTACAGTAGGAGCTCCATATTTGCGTATCTCTTATATTCAAGATTTCTTATAGTCACGATATTTTACTTTTCATCTGCAAGTTTTGAGATTTTTAACTCTTTTATTTTATTTTAACTTTATGTTTATTTGAGAACTAAAATTGATAAATAGAACTGATAAGGAACTGTCTATGCTGAAATTGTATTAATTTTTTTAAATAAAATAAAAAAAATAAATGAAAAAAATTAATTTAAAACATTTTTATATATTTTTTCTTTATATATATTTAATGTTTTTATATATTTCGCTTTTCATTTGCAATTTTTGTATTCGCAATTTGAATGTAAATTCCGCAAATATGGAGCTTTTACTATATATCACAAAACGCGAATGCGATACATATATTATCCGCTGATTAGCAGCATTATACAAAATCTATACTTTTGCAATGAAAAATATACAACATATTTACACGTGTCTGACATAGCACAAGTACATCAGTAAGAGCGGATTTATACAGGGTGTTCCAAAACTTGCGACCTTCGATTAAAATATCTAACAGGTTTAATAAATTGATATGACAACAGGCTCGGTCGATTGGAACATTAGATTAATGAATTTCGTTCTTTTCCGAAACGTCGTGATATTTCAAACGCGTAATAACATATCTTCCGCACATCGCACATACCTGCGATGAATATTTTCGAATATCGTATCAGAAGAATGTAAGGCTCACTTACAACTAAATTATGTAATCATGTACCTGAAAAGCAAACTGGAATGAATTCAAAATTATTTGGAATTATAGATTTAGATGTATTTTATATGTAGAGTTTTGTATTTTAAATGAGTTTTATAAATTTAAAACAGAAAATGAGATTAAATTTTTGATAATTTTTTGGGATTGCTATGTAATTGCGAATGTAAAATTTTTCACATAATGACTTAATAAAATCACAATCATGTTTGTTGTTATCAAATAAGTTAATTTAGTTCAGTTAATTGTTGTTTTTTAATTAATCCTGTATAAACAATTTTTTTATTCTAACTGAACTTATGTGATTATCCATTTAATGATTTCTGAACATTTGCAGATTTTCATTAAGCAAATCTCAAGTTTATACTCTGTGCTCTGCAGGTACGAAAATTATGCAATGTGTCCATACGAGATCTATATGTTATCTTTAAACTAATCTAAGAAAATAGAAAAGTATCTATTAAATGCACAAAATGTCTTATCGAAAATTATAAATAAGTATGTATTAATATATCACAATATGAAGATGCCTCAAGCTTTCTACAATTTATAAGTTTGCTATAAGTCTATGCCGTCAACACGTAATACACGTGTTTTCGACGTAAGTCTTTCGCTCTATATATGTAATATAAAAAAAGACTTCGCTTCAAATGTGAGACGATAATTTTGATATTATTATTAATAATAGAAGTCTTCTTGTCTCAATAAAGTTTTAATTTAGTTACACGAACGATGAGAAACCTGGCAGCGGCGCTCTCGATCTTGCCATATTGTTCATGATGATCTGACCGCCATTCAAACTGACGACCGCGCTGCCTTCCGGCTCGGAATCTGTGTACGACGAATAATTCCGAACGGGTTTCTGCCGCTTCCATGATTGTCTCAACGAATCATTCACATTCGCGTAGTGATTCACGAAGGAATGCGGGTCGGATTGCACACTCTCATTCTCGCTCTCAGAACCCTGCGAGTGAAAACACAACTTAGAGATCGCTTATGATTTTGAAATAAATACACAATCGTTTCTTTTTTCTCCGAAGGAATTACCTGAGAATCGGTGGAACTAATTTCGGAGGGCTTCTCCGTAACGCTGCTGTCATCAGGATTCTCGTCGTATCCTTTGAGACTCTCCTCGTCACTGTGATAAGCAACCGATGCGGGGGAAGGTCTAGGAGGCGATTTGCCTAACATCGCTGGCGGTGGAGGGTGCATAGCTTTCCGGGCTAATGTGTTCTTTTTACCTAGAGTACCACTCGCCACGTTGACTGTGCCACCACTTTGACGCGATCTATACAATACCAGATCCGATTCTTGCCTGTCGTCCGCATCCATCGCCATTGACTCTTCGAGAGTCTTTTGCGCCTCTTCTGTAATTAGTATACAATGTATAATTCCTTTATAAAGTTATACATTAATAGATAAGTATGCAAGTTATTTTTATTTTTTTATAATTGGGAATCACTTTGATGTATATAGATATATTAAACTTACGTTTATACTTGTAACTTTTACTCTTTACACACAACACTGCTATGACCATAATAATAATTATAATTGACGTAGCTGCTAAAGTGACCATAAACCAAGTCTGTCTATAAAACGGTCTGTGTTGCAAATATGCATATTCCAGGTACAATTTCGACGGCGTCAAAATCTGCCAAGATAAGATCCCATTAAAGTAAAATATAATATTAATTTATGTAATATAATATTAGTTATATATATTTTATTTTTATAAATAAATATATACGTTAACATAAATATCCAAATAGTGTGAATAAAGTGAATTTAATATCCAAATGGACAGACATTTGTAAATTACAATATTTTTTAATGATACAAATATTTAAATTCCATTAGTTATTTCTTTATTTAATTAAACTTACGGTTTCTGTGGAATACGCTGGATAACTGATTCCATAACGATTATATGATATTACTCTAAACAAGTATGATGTAGATGGTAGTAAGTTTTGATAGGATACAGTATATTCCGTCAGTGGTCCATTGCTACTACGAATTATTGTCTGCCAGCGCGAATCATCTACAATTATATGTACAAATTCCGTTATAAACTCTCTTCAAATTAATAAATATTTCCAAGAAAAGGGAAAACAACATTCTTTTGTTTGGAAATACATTATATAATTATAAATCTCTCTATATGTCTCATTTCTACAACGTTATTTTTCAACAGTAAATATTTTTTTATCAATTTATATTTTCAATTTTATCTCTCTCACTCAATGAAAATATTAAATATTGTATATCTTTGTAATAATTATAAATTAAATTCACTTTAGAATATGTTAATCTATTAAAATAAAATTCCAATATATTATTTTAGACTAATTAAACTGCTTTAGTTTAAAATGACTAAGAAAAGTATGATTTTATAATTTTTATTTTTTACTTTCAAACTTAATTTATTGGAAACAATTCACTTAAAAAAAAATTGATATTTTCTTTAAGAAAAAATTGTTAACAAATAACGCAGTAAGAATGAAATATATTCCTTTTACTAAATGATTTGGGATTTGTATTATTTTGGTAAAAACACTGATTAATAAACACTTTGAATGCTTTGTACGTCTATTATATGTCTATGCATTTATAGTTTCCTGATTCTTAAGGAAGAATTATTTATATAAAGAATCAAGAAATGGTAAATGCACTGTATTGACATATTAAAAAATAAAAAAATATATATTTTCGGAAATGTTGCCGAAGAAAAAAAATGCTTATTTTTTAATACGAAATATGATAATGTATTAATCTATATATTAATATAGCATATCTTGGATATATATTGCACGCAAAGTGTTTGCACGAACGCGAGATTAGTTGCAAGGGTTAAATAATTAAAACTGTGACACTATCAGTAAATAACGACTAACACAATAAATCATCATCACGCTAACGATCAATGAATCGTTTCTTTCTCAGGACAGTGTTACAGCGCTACACGAAGTTAATATCCAATAAAATCTCGCATGAATATCTAAAATGGGATTTCTGGCAATGTCATGCTTTGACATTATCATGCAAATTGTTGCAAACGACCAAACGATCATACGACACGTATAATATATAATGATTATTGTTCAAAAAGCGATATCGTTACGCTAATAAGGATTTCGCTATCAAAAACCATCTAATGCAATGATTGACGCTCAGCGTAATTACGTGCGTTGACACTTACAATGCTGCCATTCTTCCATTGCTACACATTTATAAAAAAACGGTATTAGTGTTAACAGATAATTGATTCAACGCGAATATGCGAGAAGTTATAATTTTGCGCGAAATTTATTCTACAAATTATTTTACAATTGTCTATATTCCCCCATTTCTTCAAATTGCAACATTAAACTAAAAAATTTTCTAAATATATTATATCCTTCTTCTCTCAAAAGGATATTATATATTGCAAAATTTATTTTGTAAATATTACAAAAAGAGAGATCAGTCAGTTTATTTATAATTTCCTGGGATTAAAATTTGAATAATAGTGTAAAATAGTAAAGTTCAAATTTTGAACAGGTCCTTTCCATTATTACAAATATTATAACGACACGCGACAGTGTAAGGAAACTGTTATACTTGCCTTTACGACGAGTCTCGATGTAATAACCCAGTATAGGACCTTTGCCGGAAGCACCGTTGGTCCACTGTAGTTCCACACTGGAGACAGTTTTAGTCACGCCAAGCTTACTAGGTGCCATCGGCGAACCCTCTTGCGGACCGGTCGTAACATTACCGGATATCGGCGGTCCAAAGTCGATTGTCTGTGCGCGAACCATAAAAGTATATGTCACTTCCTCCTCCAATGGTTGGATGAGGAGGCTCGTCTCCGTCACTTTTTGCTTGACTTGTTTGCTGAAACCTTGAATAGAACACGATTCGATCAGTTAGTAACGGAGTTACTAGAGATATAGTAAAAACATATTGTAATATTGCTATACTTTTCGTGTATAAAAAAATTTTGTTCAAATAACATTATAACAGATTTTGTATCTATTTATATATAAGAATATTCATGTAAACATTTACATTTATGTGTTAATTACAACATAATGCAAAATGTCATAACTTATATAATTGTAAAGGTGATTCGGGATAGAACTATTGGAAAAGAAAAATATTAATAATTTTTAAAATATAATTAATTTTTTTTTACACGAATTACTGCAATTGATATTATCGAGATAATAACTTACGATCATTTTGCTCCGCCGTTTCATATGTAACGATATAACCGATTATCTCGCCATTGCGTAATTTCGGTGGCTCCCAAGAGACGCGCAAGCTGGTCATGGTAATTTCAGTAAATTGTAAATTGTACGGCGGTCCCGGTATGTCCTGCATTTTGTGCACACAATGCGCATTTATAATACATAAAATGTTAGAACAAAACTACAAAGCTTAAGATTATATATGTTGTAGATAGCTATTATATAATTGATTATTGTCTAGAAAAAGAGAGAATAAGAAAAAGAATATAGTTAGTATAGTTTAAATAGCGTTATTTTTAAATATCTATTTTAATATTGATATTATTTAAAAAATAATTCAATATATATAGAAAATCACCTGTTTCGTCCTTACGGTAATTGGCGGAGATCGTGGGCCATCTCCGGCCGGATTAAATGCCAAAACTTGTATACGGTATTCTGTATACTTATCGAGGAAGACTAAACTGTGCGCCAAAGAGGATGCTGGAACAACTTCTATCTCTTCTTCCTGTTTCTTCTCTAAATTTTGAGGAGAGTCGGTTACTAAATAAAAAATCTGCAATAGAAATGTTAATTACAATCTATATTCATATAGAAAACTCATAAATTAATGAAACAAAAATATGTTAATGTGCAACAATTATTAAATATACAAAGGAGAATTTATAACAATCTGTCACAGAGTGTGTCTTATCTCTTATATAAAAAATATGTTAATATATAGTAGTGCGACCAATTCGTTGCTAATATAACCGGATGCGAGAAAAATAATTACTTTGTATCCCAATAAATCGCCATTTTGCATATTGGCTTGGGGAGGCTTCCAACGTAAATGGACCTCGGTGGAGGAAATAGATTCGGCTATCAAATGTTGAGGCTCTCCTGTAGGGACGGCTTCTCCTACGTACACAGTAACCGGTGGACTCGGTGGACCTTCGCCTTCTGAGTTAAATGGTAATACTATAATCTCGTAATATCGATCCTCCGTTAAATCACTTAAAACCATTTTAGTTTCCTAAAACGAAATATAGAAATGAATTCGATTATCGATTATCTGAAAAGTATCATGCTATGTGCAATTTCTGCTATCGATGTTATATATAGTAGTATATATCAATTTCAAATAGTAAAACGATCCCAATATTTTGAGAATTTGAACGAATCTGTTGTTAGAGAATAAATTGTTTTATGCGTCATTTTTATTATTGCAAATTGTTCCAGAATTTAAGATTTAAGTATAATATTAATTAATATTAATTAACTGATTTAAGTATAGTTTAAGTATAATAATAGATTATGAAATTACAAAGACTATGCTATATATAATATATTATATTTTAAGAGATATATCACCTTAATTCCCAGAATATCTTCTTTCGGCGTCGCCTGAAGTGGCGTTGGGAAATCTGATACCGGCTGGTAAACGATGCGATAACCACCTGTTTCGTAATCTCCGCTCCAATACACTTCGTCGATCATATTCCAGTGAACTTCGACGCTGGATGTTGTTATTGGTACAACTTTTAGACCAGTGACGCCTTTTGACGGTGCTATAAATAAATTATAATATTAGCAAAAGATAAATTAAATCGAAATCGATAGAAAGATTTTTAATCGAAGAATAAAAACCAAAAAACCTTGATAATATAAATTTTTCTTTGTTAAAAAGAGATGAATCAGTATTGCGTTGCAAGCAAGTCTGTATACATACTAAATACATAGTAAATATATTAAGTGTATATACTAAATAAATATATATTTTTATATTAAGTTGATTTAATGCGATGACGCTATTGTATTAAACTAGTATGATGTATCAAAAGGTTGTCGAATCTAATATATAAGTATATCAAGTAAGTATAGCATTACAAGAACTTACATATTAAATAGATCATTTATTAAAATATTTTAGAAGGCAAAATTAATTATTTTGATTTTTCCAAAAATTTTATTGAATTCATTTTTCGTATTTCCAAAAAATAGAGCAAATAAACAATTTTGATGTAAAGGTAGTTAAATTACATTTGATGCGTATCATTTTGATTTGCAAAAAGATGTACGGATATAAACTAAGCTCCAATATCTTGGATTATCGTTTAATACTCACCTGCAGGCAGAGTTTGCACTTGAGCAGACTCGGTACTCCATTCCGAAGGACCTATATCATTGGTAGCCTGAATACGAAATTGATAGCGCGTGTAAGGTTTTAAATTGTTAGCCGTGTAAGATGTCAGAGTTGGCTCTACTCTTTCGGGTATAGTTTGGAACGGTCCAGAATTCTCCGACTGTTGCACTGTATAATATCTGTCGGGATAAAAAGAGAAAGAGATTAACATGCAATTTTTTTTTAATAAAGTCGAGATTGATGCTTGCGAAAGATATCTGTACCTTAATGGTGCAAAACCATCTCTGCCTGGTGTCCAGCTAAACGTTATCTGACGACTCTGGATCTGCGACTTGCTCACTTGCGGTACCGATGGTGCCTGCGGACGTTCCCTATTGTTCGTAGTAAATACAAGCGCGTAAGCTGTCTTACCCCAACCCAATCTCGTCTGCGCCGTCACAGAGAACATATAATATTGCTCCGGTTCGAGACTAGTGGCTCTGCACAAGTAACAATATTGCAATATTAAACTTAAAAATCTTCTTGCTCTTTTAAGATATTGCTAATTTTAAAATAATATTACTTATATGATTTTAAAATATGCAGGAATCCTACATAAATTATAAATAAAAAATTTTGACTTTAAAATTCTAAAATTCTCTTAAATCCTATATTGTTTCTAATATATAAAATATTGAAGCTAAAAATATATATACAAAATGATATATATATATATATATATATATATATATATATATATATATATATGTATATTTGAATCTAAAATTCTATTCATAAATGTAAATAAAGATAAATAGAAAAAAAATTTTTTGTACCTAAATGTTCTGTCTGATGCTGGGAATTCTTTAGAGAATTGGCGATCTTGGCTACTATTCAAATGAAACAAGACCTTATACGCGAGAATCTCTCCATTGGGATCCTCTGGCGTATCCCAGATAATACGCGCTGTGGAGAAACTCACGTCAGGAAAAGATACGTTAGATGGTGGACCAGGAGCTGTAATATAAAACAGAATATTAGTATTACAATAACAATTATTATAAAAATTCTTAGTTTTACTTTTTTGCATTTATTCTTTGCTTAGGAAAATTCTTTTCTATTATATATTATAATAATTATACCACAGAATACACAATCAAGAATCACATACGTATTCTGCGTTACAATTATCCTGATTGTCTTCGATAACAAGAATTTAACTGTAATGAAAAATCCATCTTACTGTCTTCAAAGGTCTGAACCCTCACAGGTGGAGTGCTCAACGCCCCGTCGCCGAGTCTCGTGTAAGCTAAAACTTGCACATGGTATTGAACAAACTTGCGGAGCTCCGTTAGGGTAGTCGTAAAAGTAGTGTTACTGGGAATATTTTTGTATTGGAAGGACGATCTGGAATTCGCGCCATAGTAAACTTTAAAACCGTCGATTTGTCCGTTTTGATGTTCTACAGGAACATCTCCCCATCGTACTAAAATTGTCGTAGAGGATGTCGCGTTCGCTTCTACGTTGATTGGTCCCAGAGAAGGAACTGAAAGATATATTGGCATTATATATCTTTGAATCTTATGCAAAAGAAGTGATTTAATGTCACTTCTTTCACAAATTAAATTTTTCACGATAAATAAAATAATCATGATAATCTTACCTGATTCGCGAGTTCGTTCGATGGCCTTTGGACTCGCCGCTGAAGAACCGACATCGTTGAACGCCTGCATCATAATCTCATAATCGGCGTACTCCTCCATATTCTCCAGAACATACGAATTTGCAGTGGGATCTTCGATAGTGACGCTCTTCGAGATTTTTGAGCGCACTTCCGTGTACGTGATGTTGTATCCGCGTGGATTTCCGTTCCACTCTATTTGCTGCAACGGCTGCGCAGAAAATTATATGTGTGAGTTTTATCATCATATCTTAATACAATATTTTTCCAGTAGTAATAATTGATGTAAAAGTTATCGCATATAATGAGTACTCACGATCCATCTGACGCGTAATTCGGTGGCGTTCATCGCGCGGACCGTGACGTTCTTCGGAGGGTGAGAAGGTGGTGCTTGAATTGTTTGAAACTCCTTGGTCGATTCGGAAGGCTGCGACGCACCGACGACATTGTTTGCGATTAAACGAAGCTTATATTGCATAAAGGGAGTCAAACCGTCGACGGTGATCGTACTGGCGTCAGGATCGGATACCTCGTAGATATTGTACCATGTCGAATTTCGCGCTGTTTGTGCCTTTGAGAAAAATTAATATTTTTTCTCTGAATTTATCTTTTATTTTTTATCAATCGCGTCAATTCTGTCATATATTGAAACTTTCTGTCTAATCGTATCTTAGAAATAGGTTTTATAAAATTAGCGTTATAAAAAATGGAGTATTTTTAAGATATTAAGAAAATAAATAATGATATCATCACATTCAATTTAAAATATCTTTTTTTTTAACTTTTAAATTTTTATGAAATGTTGAATCAAAAAGATGTAACAAATAATAATTCTCTTTCCCACAACAAGAGTTCATTCTAAATCTACTAACTTGTACTGTCCATTTCGTGATGGATGAGTTGCCATCGAATCCTGGCGTGAATTGTAACACAACGGAGAATGCATCTATATTGGATAACGCCAGCTTTGTAGGCGGTTCTGGTAGCACCGGTTCTACGCCCGATTGTATGGTCGCTACTTTTGACTTTCCTGGTCCAATTGACGTCCACGCAGTAACTTCAAATTTGTAATGAGTCAATGCCTAAAAAAACAATAGTAAATAATAAATCATATATTTCACTCCTGCTTTGTTTTTTGGTTTGATTTTATGTTGCTTGGAATTGATAATTACCTGTAAATGTTTTATTTTTGTCGACAATACATCGGCCGTAAAGTTTTCGACGCGCAAAGAATCCGGAATCTCTTTAATCATATATTTCAGTTGATAATGTGTCAATATGCCATTCGTTCCTTTAGGAGGACTCCACTTAACTGTCAGCGCGCGATCACTGATGTCTTCGAATTGTAGATTCTCCACTTCTTCGGGTACTATAACGGGTAATAAATATTTAAAAATTAACAATTGCGTACATATAATGTCTAAAAAACGATCTTATTTAATTCCTTTAATTGCATAAAAAATAATCAAAGATAAGAAAAATATATGATTAATCTTATAAATTAAAATTATTGTTAAATATTAAAAAGTAATTATTAATCCGTTTAAATTAACTTTATGTATGAGTAAAACAATTAACTATTAATTAACTATTAATTAACTATTAATTAGTCATATCATAAAGTAAACGTACCATCTTCGCAAGTGCGTATTTCGACGGGCGAACTCCTTTCGCCATCACCAGGATCGGTGAAGCAAAGCACCGTAATATTATACAGAGTGTATTTCCTTAAACTCGTCATAATAGCGCTCTGTTCGGCGAGTGGATCAAATAGGCTGGGTGGCACGGTCATCGATTTATATTCAGTTGCTTCCATAATGTTACTGCCAAACCAAGCTTGCAATTTATATCCTTGATTTATTCCGTTGATCTTCTGTGGATTCGGTGGCTTCCACCAAACTTTCACCGCCGTTGAGTTAATCGCTTCCGCTTTTACATTTGTGGGCGGTGCTTCCGGAACTATATACAATAATTATTTCTATTATCTTTAGCTAATTTATATTTATAACTCTAATATTCTAAATATAATTATACATGATATAATATTGTATTATTATATATCATATATAGTTTCGTATTGTATTAATTATATAAATTAAAATATAATATTGTAATAATGTAAAAATATAATATTCCAGAATTACAATATTTTAATTATAATGTTCTATTATATTTTTATACAATATTTTGGAATCATATTATTATTAAAAGTTTGAATATCGATCAATTACCTCCTTCCTTAGTTTTAATCTGCAAGCCCTTGGTGTATACACCCACACCTTTATCGTTGTAAGCCGCTATCTGTACTTCGTAATCCTTCCACGTGATCAGATCGGTAATAAGATAATTTCTTTGCGCTTCATTGGTGATATTCTGTATCGTCCACGGACTGTCATTGTATCCGTGCAGTTTGTACCTCAGTATATATCCTAAAATATGACCATTTCGGTATTCCTCCAGCGGAGGTTGCCATTGAGTTATTATTTCCGACGATGAACGTGCTGAACCGACGAAGCCTATCGGTGAACCACTGGGCGCTAATAATTAAAACAATCAAATTCAATTAATTCAATTAATATATATATCAAAAATCAATTCAGTTTATTTTGATGAAAAAATAGGATAGATATAATATCACTATTTTTTATCAAGTTATCATTCTTTTCTTAATCACTTACGTTCTTGAGGTAAAACGACGATGTTACTAGGTGCCGACGCTGGACCTTCGCCGACGCTATTTTCAGCGCTAACGCGAAATTGATAAGCTGCCGCGGCTTTCAAATTATTCAACAATACCCATCGACTTGTCGCCGATATGTTATCACGTTCGGTGACCCAGTTTAATAATGGGCTGGTTATAGGTCCTATTTATATTATAAGATATTACATAATAGTCATTATAATATAGACAAATAAATGTGTAAAAATAAATGTAATGTGTTAATTAATTTATATTTGTTCTAATTTCTTTTCTATTATATTTATTATATCATAAATTTGTAAAATATATATTTTTAAATATATTTTTTAAATATATATCTAATAGCAATGTTTACAATTATGTATTTATCTACGAAATATATGTATATCTTATAAATCAGAAACATAATAGCACTTGTATGTCTAAATTATATCCAGATTACACTTACCTAGATCAGATACTTCTAGTCTCTGAATTATGAATTTCTTCGTGGGACTATTACCATCGAAGCCGGGTACCCATGTGACGTTGATCGTGCGCGGTGAGATCCGTTCGACTCGAGTGGCCACGACGTTGATAGGCGCGAATGGCAATTCGATCACACTCAGACGAGCGGTTCGCGTCTCGTTTCCGCCGGGTGACACCACAGAACACGTGTAATCCCCTACGTCGGAAGCTCGAACAGCGAAAATCTCAAGAGTTCCGTCCGATCGCATTTTCACTCTCTGACTCGCTTGCGTGTTTATTACTCTGTAACGATGAGCGTATCACTTTAACATTTTTAAATTAAAAGAATTAGAAAGAATCACATCCACTTTTTTTCAATTCAAAGAATTCTGCTAGCATATTTCGATAATAAATCAACAGTCACAATTAAATTAATGCAATTTTTATAAGAAAAAAATATATAAATGATTTAAGATGTATAAAACATACACACAATTTGGATGTTTTGATTTATCAGATTTTAATTATATTTTTTGAAAAATAAAGAACTCTGATCACAGTTAAATTTTGCGAAAAATTAAATGTGAGATTTCTTCTATAAAATAATATAAAAAATTTAATATAAAAATTTAATATAAAATTTAATATAAATTTAATATAAATTTAATATAAAATATGCATATTAATATAAGATATAAAAAATCGATTATATATTATAAATGGTATTAAAGTATTATTGTAAATTTATATTATAATTATTGTAAAAACATAATATTCTTCATTATATATACATACTGTCCGTTATGAAACCATGCCATATCGTACACGACGCTAGGATCGTTGGAGATTTTACACTGTAATTCGGCGGTATGTCCCAGAAGCACGGATGTATCAACAGGTGGTTGAATAATTTGCGTCCGAACTGTAACGGAGAGAGATGTATACGTATAATAAATATGTATACACATAATACAGCTAATTTTTACTTTAAAAGAATTTTTAAGAAAACTTTCTTTGTACGAATACTTAAAAATTTAGTAATATACATATAATAGCGTACTTAAATACTTAAATTAAAAATATCTCTTGATAACACAAAGTATATGTGATGCAAAGAGATATGCAGATAAAAAAATATATAATATAATATACAATATATAATAATATATAATATATAATATTGGAAAATTTAAAAAAATTTGACTTTTTCAATAAATTGTCTTCGATTTTAGAGAAATATTTTATTTATGAGATAGATATAAGGAAATGAATAAAATGAGAAGATTTCTGTTAGATTGATTTTATAATTACCCATAACAGTCAAGTATGCTGATCCATTGACAGAACCGGCTTCATTCGCGCGAATGCAAGTATATTTTCCTGCGTCGTATGACTTTACCGCAGCGATTAGAAGATCACCATTATCCAAAACTTGTACTCTCCCGGCAATCTCTACTGGTATGGTATCTATTCCAATTAAAGATTTTGCAATTTATTATAAAATTACAAATATAAATAAATATAATAATATATAAAGAAGAATTTCATTTATTTTAATTTTATAAAGAAATATTTTTAACAGTAAAATCAAAATTTGATATGAAACTGAAATAATATATAAATTAACATAAAATAATAATTAAAATTAAATTTTTTATTTAATTACCATTATAGTACCAAGTAGTATTTGGTTTAGGTGCTGCTATCGCGTAGCAAGTCAAAGTCGCATCTTTGCCGTCCAATACTGTTAAATTCTGTGGACTTTTTTCCATAATCGGTCCAGATGCTGTAAATTACAGAAATTTCGTTATTAATATTGAATTGATTTCCGATGATGTTTTCTCACAACGTGCAAATGAAAAAAGAGTGAATAATCGTCGCTTGCAATATGTATGTATATTAAACCAATCCGTAATTCTTACTCTTTCTCTCTATTTCTTTACACTGATTTCCAAAAACAAGCTTATTTTTTTAAAGCAAAACACAAACATATTCAGTAGCAAAACTACGCAAACTAATGGCTAAGTACAGGCTGGTTCACGATAAATGCCATGTAAAATAATCACTAAATGCTTAATACAATACTTATCGTGAAACATTCATAATTCAAAATAAATTTTTTTTATTGAAATATATTTCTAATCTATAACATATTTGGGGAGAGCAAGACGTGCGTGTCAGTGTTACTTGCAATGTCGCAGATGTGTGCCAAGAATTCTTATATGATTGTATCAAAACACAAGTCGTTTTATTTGATAATTTTTTTTAAAAATATCTCGATATTTTATCATTCATTACATATATAATATAAAAAGGAATTCTAAACTAATTCACTAAATCACTAAATTATTAATCACATACAAAATAAGAGCTATTGATTTTTTAAAGCTTTCTTTAAAATTCTATGCAATTGAAATAATAATAAATTATGCAAAATATTGATATATCCAACATAGTGCGTTTGTCTTATGAAACATTTATCACTAAAAGAAGCAAAAATCGTGAAAAGTGAAACTTATACGCAATCTTCACAAGCATGTGCCGAGAATAATAATGAAAAACAGAAAAGTGAAGAAATTTGGCAGCAATTATCTTACTGTCTGGATAATGAGAGAACATAAAACGGCGATCAGATTGGCGAATTCTGACTACATTGTAGCCAGCCGCCCAGCGGGCAACTCTGTTTCTCAATCCGCTTCCTAATTCTTCTTCTGTGTCGCATACAAAAAACACGTCATATATATTAACTTTGCTTGCGACATTATTACGCGAAATATTTGTAAAAAATGCCATTCATATCTCTATTCGCAATGCGTTGCATTTATTTATTTATTCAAATATTTATAAATATTTATATCACATTTTAAATAGGTTAAACAATTTCCCTATTTAATAAGTTACCTATATTATATAATTTATATGTTGGTGAACAAAAAAAAAATAAGAATCCAATCTTAAATAATACTTATATTAAAAATCACAAATTGTATATTTGCTAGTTATAAATATAATAGTTAATATATAATAGTTATAAGTGTGTGTGTATATATATATATATATATATATATATATATATATATATATATATATATAATGATTTCTCATCTCTTAAGAAATCGTATTTTTCATCGATTAAAAAGAAGATGCTAAAACGGTTTAATTGCATGTTTCGTGAACACCATGTAACACCAAATTTAATTGCGAATTAAAATTAAGACAAATGCAGCACGAAATTCTAGACAATTACTCACTTTTCGCCTTCAGCCATGTATAACTGGATGATTCGCCGGCGTCGTTAGACGCGAGGCATTGAAACATTCCTGAGTCGTCCATAGTCAATTTTTTGATCGTTAACGAACCATCTTCCTCTATTATATATCTATAAAACACGTGCGACAAAAGCGTACAATTATACATAATTGTCAATTCCCGATGAATATCGTCGTCTTTGAAAACGAGTTGAAATATTTAAAATGATTAAATATTCTCTCTATAAATATATATTATGTATTCTAACTATAAATTATATCTTCCACATAAAAAACTGTTACAATTTCACATTTACAGAAAAATTTCAACGAAGCTAAAAATTAAAATAGGTAAAATTGTAATAAAGATATAAGATATAATTTTCTCTTTCTTTCTTTTTCGGATCATAAAGTCAAATATTTGCTAAGGTATACCTAGTTCCCAGTAAATGATCAACGGGCTCGGCATTACGGAACCAACTGATTATAGGAGGAGGTACGCCGTTAGCGTCGCACGGTAACGTTACTGTGGATCCGTAATCACTCAATGTCTCCCTCTTTAATTCCGTTATAAATGTCGGTTTTTCTAGAAAAATATAGCAAATATGGAAAATTTCATGGAAAGGGCTAAAATTATTATGCTTGTTAAAACACTTTACTTCCTAATTTTATATAAATATAATTTCTTATCTCTAAAATTTAATAATTTTTAGTTACGTATTATAATAATGAATGATTGATAGTGTCATACTATTATTATTCTTTTTTTTAAGGTAATTGCGTGATTTATGTTACACCGCTATTTCATCAATTATTTACACATTTATCACGTACTTATTTACTTTGGATTATACTTACCGTACACGACAACCTTGGCACTCGCATTTACAGTTGGATAACCACCGCTCCTCAAATCCACATGACAAGAATAGATCCCCGTGTAAGTTATGTTGGCTGAGATCAATGCGAGCGTTCTATTCCACGAATCGTTAAAGCTGTATGATATCCTAGAGTTCTCAATTGGAATGCCGTCTTTCATCCACAAGGTCCGTAACTCGTGAAGTGATCTGAAATAAATGTAAATTTGTTGCTTTGAACCTTCTCGAATTGCGACAATATGGAACATTGTTGAGACAAACATCAAAAAAAAGAATAATTGTACGTAGTATAAACAACGACAGAGATTGTTTTGGCAAAAGATTACCTGGCATTCGCAATGCAATTTATGTACGTGACGTCTTGATCTTTGATTATCTGTGTATCCTGTGGCTTGACAATTATTGTAGGGGCCACTTCCGCATATGGATCGCCGGTGACTTTTAACTTGAAAAACGGACTATTCTCTTCCTTGCCCAGTTGGGTATTGATAGCTTTCGCTCTGTGCACAATGAATCATCAAAAAAATATAAACTTAAACTTGTCAAAGTTCATTGGAATTTTCTTAGCTCTTAATTTCAAACTTTCTATAACTGCAAATTATAAAGTCATCTTTAATTTTGATTTGCAAAATTTTAAAATTAAAAAGGAGCTATTTTTCCATCCCTAATCTCGGAATTCAACAAAACAAGCAATCTTATGAAGCAATCAATAAAGCGAGCTTATTAATAATAATATTAATGATAATATAAATTGTACGAACCTATAGGAACCTTCGTCGTTTTCTGAAGCGTTTAATATCAGTAGCGTATGATGAGTCGTTGCGTACTTTATACCGTACAGGAGTGTCCCGTCCGAGGAGAACCATGTTACTTCTGGGGTAGGATGGCTCTCAATCGGGGGTAACTCCAGAATCGCAGCGCTACCTGACTCGACACTCACCACTTTCTCCGTGAGATCATCAAACACTTCCATATCTAGGAACAGATTAGGACGTTGATTCGATAGTCTGGAGAACACTACATTTCTGTGATTCGTCAAGGTACTCACAGGCTACGGCGAAGGCGAGACGATCGCTGAATATGGACCCCACGTCGTTCGTCGCGACGCAGTGATATACCCCGGCATCCTCTCGCCGCGTGCTTTGTATACGGAAGTAAGGCCCTGAGGTGAGCTCATTGCTGAGAGGCACCCCATCTTTGAACCATTTGTACTTTGGTTGAGGATTGCCTGTGAAAAGGGATATTTTTGCTACCAATAATTTTTCTCTCTCGAGGTCGTTCAGTTTAGATTATAATCCAAAATTTGCATAAAGGGTATCGAGAAATATGCGCAAAACAGATTCTTTGAGTTGTATGAAATATTTATTCGGAAACGTAGTGTATTTCTTGTAATATCGTGAAGAGCGATTTAACGTAAAAATTCATGAATGATTCAATGTAATTCCCGTTTGTAAAGTCACAAACGATGATATTAGACCGCGAGCTATCTAATACCATTAGTACAGGGTCATATGATCGAATTACATGGTGCTGGGCATCGGTTAGGCTTCATCTGGTCACCGTCTTATCCGCCCGATACTTGATATTTTTACAGGACAATGGAACGTCATATGCGACGAACCTTATCCTCTCATCACTGCTGTGATCCTTATACTCTTTTTTTTAATTTCATTACTTTAATGTAAAATTGAAATATTTTTAAATTATGAGATTTTGAAGTATTTTTTGATAATTTATATTAATTTATATTAATTAATAATGACGGAATAATTCAAATTATCGATAATGATAAAATTACGAGAAGTTAATACTAAATAAAATGTCACTTGATTATTTTTGAAATTATATTTTTATTAAAGGAACAAAATTTGCAATTGCGGTATTTTTGAAACTTATTGTTTAAAATTTTATAGTATCGAAATATATAGAATAGCAATTTTTTTGTTTTGTAAGAAAAAAGATCGAACGGCAAGTTTAAAATTTGTAGCTGATGTAAGAGATATATTTTCCGATTAAAATTTACCAGTAAATTAATTTTCGAAAACTATTATATTTGCCTCAAGAAATTATCAAGTAGATACACAGAAAAAAGACATACTTGTTTTGAAAATTTAATTTATTTAATTTTAACATGGAAATCTTAAAATAAGATTATAATGCGTTAATTAAAGAAAAATATAATTGCTTGAATAATTGCTTACTTGAATGAAGCCTTTTTATAAAGTTCAATTAAGAAAAATATATTCTTATGATTTGAGATTTAATTTTTTTGAACGGAAAAGAAACAATGTTAGATGGAAAATAACATTTTTAAATCAAAGATTATAATTTTCTTAAAGTAGAATTAAATAATTATATATTCTTGAAATGGCAATTACAATATTGAAATAAGATTATAATATTGTTAAAATTTAAAATTATTAAATTCTATGGAAGATTATAGATTGTGTATATACAAAGAGAACACGTTAATATACGTTTTGATTTGACACTTATTTTTTTTTCTGTGTAATTAGAGAAAATTTTCATGCTGGATTGCGATTCTTACCTCTTGCTTGGCATTGTAGAAACTTTGTGCGATTCTCGCTAAGAATATTGCCACTGCTGGACGGCTGATTGGTGAAACGCGGCTCTTGAAGTGGCTCTGTAAATGAAAGAAAAGCGTTTTTTTTTCTTTTTTTCTGGTCAATCTCGCGATGACAAAAGTCTCTTACAAATTAATTCGAGATATAAGGTCACATAAGAGGTCACATACGAATTGAAAATTCGTGAATTTATATGCTGTGTAAATAAACTACTTATACATATCTTTTCTCATATTACGTATGTAAATTCGGATCGGTATTATTACACGTGAATGCCGTATGGCTGACTGACATTGAGTCATCGCGAACGGGCGACGTGTAATAATTTATGATGCTCCAAAAAGCCCGACGAACGAGAGAAAGGAATGCGAACGAACGGCCGCGGATGCCGAGGTGCCGAGTCACATGCATGTAAAGCCCTCCTCTTGTATACCTACCGGACGTTCCACGCTCTGTTGATCCTGACACACGGTGTGCCACAATCTCCCGTCGTTTCCCGTGAAACCATGACTTTATCGAGAACATATTGCGAGTGAAAAGTCGAAAAGTCCAGAGTTTTAAAAAGAATATATATTTTACATTTCTTAAGAAAACGAATACATAATAGATTTGAATATAATATACGAAATATATACAAAGAGTTTATATATTTTTGATTAATAATATATTAATATATAAAATAATATGTTAAGTAATAAAATAATTTAATATAATATAATAATAATAATTTAATATAATAATAAAAGTTAATTTAATAATAAAATAATATATTATATAATAATAATATTAATAATAATAATTAATTATATATATAATTTAATATAATATGATTTTTTTAATTTAATTTTATATAAAATAATATATTAATATTAATAATATAAAACGATTTTATGCAATACATTCATTTGCGGATATGTATAATATTATAATTAATTGATTTGTTTACAAGGATTTACAAGGTAAATTTACATCAGGAGTACTTTCTGTAGAGAGAAAAAAATTCCTTGGATGTGTAAGTAATGACGATTTACGGGCCGATGGTGATCGCGAGCGACGAATGTAGTTTTCCACCCATTGTTTACCTTTCAACCGATAATTCATTCCGAACCGATGCACATCACGTGATGCATGGACTGCGTTCTAATCGTGTGCATATACGATGCAATCAGTCACGCCGTATATATCTAGTTGACGGATCTTAAGAACTGACAATCATGTGATTCTGTCCCACCTGAGTCGTTATAAATATCGATTCGGCTCGACTGATGGCGAAAACATAGACTGTTGTTTATATAGTGATAGTTTATATAGTTTATATAGTGATAGTATCTCGGTCACTAACATGTCGACATTTAAAATGTGATTTTCTTTTCTTAGATAATTGATTCCTCCACAAAATATATGATTTTTTTATTATCAAAAATGAGAAATTTATCGCCAAAATTTAACTTCACGGGTATGAAAATAAATTTCCAAATTAATTAAATTAACAATCTTTGTTTTAATTTTAAAGATTTGTTTATATAATCCGCTTGCATTCCAGTATGTCTATTAATTATTCAGATTTTTATAGAAACAAATTAAAATTTTTATCTTGCAATAATGTAATATTTTCACATTATTTTCTTTGATATATTGGTTAAGGAAAATTTCACATCACATTGTCCAAAGAATAGGCTCTATGTAATTATTCTCATGTTTCTCACGTTCTTCAGCTTGTTAGAATTAACGAATCATTAAGAATTTGTTGGACGTAAAAGAATCAAACTTTTAGAAATTAAATGCCCAACGCTCGAGTGTCAATGTGATTATCTATCCATCTCTATCTCGAAGACTCCTTTCGTTAAAAAGGAGGAAAATTTTTTTAAATTTCGTCAGCGCTACAGGTATCTGGCTCGTAAGCGAAGAGTTCCAGTTCACGGATTAGTTATCTCTTTATCTTTCACAGTATCACGAGTAGTATGACACCATAACGCTAACAAAGCCCAGCAGAATGCAAACACGCATGAAATGCATATGTAAAGGAGGTTCTTGAATATCTAAATCGTGACAATAAACTCCACACGTTATATATGTACTTCTCGTTTATTATCGTGTATTTTAAGCTTGTCGCAGCAAGTTTGTTCTCCACTTTGCGGGATAAAAGATCGTACGTTAAAACTAGAATACACCGAAGAACGTCTGGAATTTTTACACGCGAGGCATTATACAATTTTTTTTCGTTAAGGTTTCTTAAGCACGAAGAAGGGAAGTGTTAATGTGAAGAACGAAACTCATTTACGGCTGACTAACTATTGCAAATGTAAGCTACTGGAGTATTAACAAGTACAAGAGGACCGTAATATATATTATACCGTTTAACATCTAGCATTTTAGATCTCATCGTGGATATTTATAATTCTTTGCATCTGAACAATCCTATCCTGTAGCTCGATTTTTTTGTGATTGTTTTTCTCTTTTTTTATCAACCAAAGTATATTACATATATATCACACGTTCTCATACACAAAATATTCTTTTTAAAAATTGCTCATTCTAGATTCAATCTGAAGCCAATGTTGAAAGTTTGAACATTATTAAGAATGCGGACTAATTAGAAGTAAACTTTCATAGAATTTTAATCAATGAAAATAGCTCAACAAAAAACGACATGTAATAACTTTTAAATTGAGATTCGCTACATGTTACATAATTAATTTTACAATTATCAATATGCGAGAAAAAGAATATATGTCGATTTAAAAAAAAACATTAATAAATGCATTGCAATATACTTCCACATTAAAATTTTAATTTTACATTTTAGATTTCTCATATAAAATAATTCTTTCATTACTTTTCTTTTATAAAAGCTGTTCATATAGAATATTAAATTATATCCATATTAATTATTTTAGTTTTAATAATAGCTAAAATAAATTAGCGTTATCTATATTTAATCAGTTTTCTAAAATAATTAAAAGTCGAATAAAAATACAGATGATGTAATTAAATTAAATCTTAATTATATATTAAAAATATTCTTAATTAAAAATATTAAAAATATTAAAAATATTCTTTATTAAAATATAAAAATATGTTCTATTAATCTAAATTGTTAGAATATAATAATAAAGAATATATTTTTTCTAAATTATAAAACTTTCGTATTCAGAGAATATTTTGAAGATCTTTTAAATATTTTATGAATATGTGACGAGAATGAGAGAGAGCAAAGCAGAATCTAAATTCAAATTAAATGTTCCATTACGTAGATTTTGTAATACGGGGGTTTGGACGTCGCTATAGTGACAATCATCGCGTGATTCGTCGGACATATGTTCGTATGCACATATACAAGCAGGTCGAGACCGCTAAAGAAACCCCTATTTTAAGCGACGCAGCTGTCACATCAAGGGTAAAACGGGGTGGGACATTTATAGAGGGGCGTGGACGCGAATCGCGAACGAAAGGGCTTTAGTTGTCTGGTAAATGAAGAAATTCTTCTTTCGCGTTCGCGACCCGAATTCTCGGTCGGTCCATTCATCTTTTAAGCGACCGAGCTGGTAGAATTTAGTTGCTGACAACGCACTGCGGAGGACGCGTATGATAAACGATATCCTTGCCAGAGAGGAATGAAGCCGACACATATCTGTTTGCTGGCACGTATTCTTAGCGAAAAAGTGCAATTTTGCGACACATATGCTTGTTGGAAATAATATTTAAATGCTTCGAAAGAATATATTGAATTATAAATTAAATATTATAAACAATAAAATACGTAAAAATAAATTAAATATTATATAAATTATAAAATTGAGGAAATTAAAAAAATTGTAAAAATAAAATATTCCTTTTATTTTTTTATAATTATATATTGTATTTTGTACGAGTGAATTTTCAACGTATAATTGAAACGCAACGAAATATGCGTGGAATTAGAAAGTTTAGAATATGTTTCATTGTAAATTCAATATTGTATAACAACAAATGAGAGGATAAATTAAATGTTATGTAATAAGAGATGATTTTAATGCATGAAATTTTTCGTGCAACTGGAGCGCGACAAAATATGCGTAGAAAGGGAGAGTTTAGAAATCGAGTGTATTGCGTAAAATTGGATAAAATAATTTCGGAGGAATAATTTTGAGCTCGCGCGCTCGAATTTGAACTCGGATATCCGGCAACCGATTGGCGAAGGGGATGAAACTCCGCAAAATGTTGCGCATTGCGTCTTACTGCACGCAGCCTCGGCGCTATATTGCAGCTGAAGGGTGGGAGAGGTGCATAACTCCCTCTTCACTGCAGTCTGCAGGTGGTCAACCTCGAGTTCTTCTGGGGCGCGCCACGTTGCAGATGTTTTTCTCCGGTGCCGCTTCTCCTAGGAAGGAGGAAACTATCTGCAGGAAACTTGCTCTTCATTTTCTAATTTCCATATGTAATTTTATCTTGCAATCACTTTGCATAAATATCATTAAATTCGAAATCATTTGGCGAAGTAAAGTTTCCAAATTACGCAATATATACAAGTGTTTGTGAAATAAATAAAAAATAAGTCCTTGGCAATTTTGAGTACCATAAACTGATATATTTTTTTTTTCAAAAATATATATTTTAAAGAATAAAAAATTCGACTCAATTTAAAATTTAATGTATGTCGTAAAAGGAAATCTTTTGTCGCCTTTAAATCGATATTATTCAAATTATGTTCGCGTGTTCTGTCAAATAGTGAATGAAAGAATGACAACATAAATGTAAAAATGTATATAATTACCACTGCAAATTAGATTCGCGATTCTTAAATTACCCTAATCAATTATTATTTTACTGAAGTTCAAGCGACAGACGACGGACGCAATCAATCGATTTAAGTGACGTAACACGCGATGAACCTCCTTATTCTTGCAACTTTCTGGACATAATCTACATATATAATGTTCCAAGCACACAATATATACGTAGCATTATTTCTTGTCAAATTTGAATAATTTTTCTTGACGAAGAATATATTGCCTTTATGAGAGATCAACATCCTATTTTTAAAAATTTCAATTTAATTGTGAAATAAGCGTATTCAAAT